CAGCGGTGGCTTCTGTCGCCCAAGCTGGCATCAGTCCCCTGATGCCCCTTAACAGCAGCCGCTGCTGGTAGGATGTGGTGTCTGTCCCCTGTAGCTGTCAGTCTGATTGTACAAAGTCAATAATGAACCTTTTTCAAGAATTTTTAAACTCAGTCTTTAAAACTTGTAATAAAACTGTGACTCTTTATTCTCTCTGAACTCTTGTAAAGCACGGGCTTTGGTGGTTTCTATTAAAGCGGCTGACGCGTGCCTACTCTTGCTGTACCAGGCTGGTTTTTGTTATTTTGGTTTTTTTGTGTTTTTTTTTTTTGTGGTTATGAAAGTTGGCGTGAGTTTGGCAACCGAGCCTGGGCTCCTTCCGGTCCTGGCTGCCAGTGACCATTGCCTTGGTCAGCGTAGGAAGGAAATGGGGCCTTTGCTTCTGTCTTCTTCACATTAGGAGATTTCTTGATCCAGAGCTAGGAGAAAAATCAGCAAACCTCATTTTCTGTAGGGGATATGGAATGTGAAATTGGGTCCCGGGACCCTCGTTCCACAGGGACACCCAAGCCTCCCCCGCCCACCTCAGAGCTGTGTTGGCCTGTCTTGTGTCTCATGTCCCAGGCCAGAGCTGGGGAGGTGCTGAGTACTGGGCATGCTTGGGCTGGAGCTGAGATCTGCACCAGCTGGAGGCCTGACTTACTCGTCCACCCTCCATAACCTCTGGGATTCGGGGTGGGGTTGGGGGAGGCTTTTAGGCTACCGGAAGGGCTAATGGCCAAAGGTAGGCAGGCAGAGGTGTCCCACGGGATTAGGGTGCTTGCCTTGCCCACGACAGACCCTGGTTCCACACCCTGTGCCAACTTGTTAAGGGGGTCCTTGATCTCTTAGCCGGGGCCAGGCGGGGCTGGAGGGATGGACAGGAAGGCACCTTCCACGTGTGCGCAGACCCGGTTCAGTCCCCAGTGCCTCCGGGAGTGACCCCTGAGCACAGCCGGGGGTGGCTGGCAGTGGACAGCAGCCCAGTGAGTCCAACTGGGGGTCGCTGATGGTGCCCTGGGAAGTTGGAAGCCCACCAGAAGTGGCTGGGGTGCTGCCTTCACTCCTGCCCTGGGGGCTGCCCAGAGGTTCCCAAGTGTGGGGTGGGGGTGGGTGAGCTCGGGTCTCGGGTAGGGGCCCAGGCTTGGTCATGGTGGGAGGCTGGGGTCTGCCCGCCAGCAGGGTGGGCCACTGGTAGTTCTCCTGGGCGGCAACTTTCCCAAGAGGAAACGGGAGGCTGGGGAGTGCAGGCCAGAACTAGAAACTGCGCTGCGCACTGCACTACCTCTCTGGCCTCTGGAGAGCTTGGGTTTGGAGCCATACCCAGCTGCGCTCCTGACTGCCCGGGTGTCACTCCTGAGGTGCTGGGACAAGTCAAGAGACTAAGCCGGGTTCCAGGTGAGCACCTCTGGCTTGCACTGTCTCCAGCTGGTAGCGTCTTTTGATGCCAAAATGGTGCTTCTCTGAGGAATGGGGAGAGGCTGGCTGACCCCAGCACCTTTGGGGGCATCTGAGAAACCTGGTTTAGTCTCAGGCTCGCGGCCAGTGACCAGCAATGAAGGCTGTGCCCAGCTGGGCCCATGGGACCTGCCTGTGCCCCTCCTCGCTGGCCTTGGGTTCAGGGGGGTTGGGGTCCCACGGAGTGGGGGTGCTGCTTCTCATTCCACAGGGAACCTGCCCTGCCCGGGCTCCCGTTTATTCCTGTTGGTTGTGGGGCCATGTCCAGCCACGCTGGGGCACCTAGGTGGTCTCGGGGATCAAACCCAGGGCTTCCTCCATCCAAGGCGGGGGCTCTTGCACCTATGTCCCGTCCTGGCCCCATCCCTGCAAACAGCCCTCGTGAATCCCACTGTCATTTGAGGCCCTGGGCGGGATCGTCCCCCGAAGGCCAGGGGATAGCCCAAAGCATGCACCCTGCTCGCTGGCGCAGGTCCGAGAGAACCTTCCCTTCAGTGCTTCCAAGCCAATGTATTCGGGGAAATGGGGCCACACTCAGCAGAGCTGGGGGCGGGGGTCCCATGCTTGCTGGGGAGGAAGCTGGGGTTTACCCCACCCTTTGACAAAGTGTTGTTTGTTAAAGGGTGACACCTACGTTCTGCACGCGGGGATACTTTGGGCAGGCCTCAGGGAACCAGATGGGATTTGGGGCATTCCCGTCAGCTGCAGGCAAAACAAGTGTCCTACCCACTGGGCTATCTCTCTGGCCCCTAGAAAACTTGGTTCCATGCAGATCTCTGTGGTGTAATGATCGGCTCTGAGACCAACAGAAACAGGAACTTGTCTCCTCCGAAGGTGACCTCGGTGTGGCTTGGATTCTTGGGTGTGTTTGGGGCTTTAGGTGGCTTTGGGCATTGCTTTCAAAGACGTCTACACTGCTGGGGTGTTGTCATTCTGAGCCCATTTAACAGTTTAATGATAATCACGTGTGACATCAGTGCTTCAGGGCCCTGTTCAACTCAGCCCCTTTTTTTTCTGACAGAAACTTCTGTCTTGGAGCTGGAGTGATGATACAGCAGGGAGGGTATTTGCCTTGCATGTGGCCAACCTAGGTTCGATTCCCGGCATCCCATGTGGTCCCCCTAGCACCACGAGGAGTAATTCCTGAGTGCAGAGCCAGGAGTAGCCCCTGAGCATCACTGGGTATGACTCAAAAAGCCAACCAAACAAAACCCTTCTGTTTTCTTATGCTTCCTTGAGCCACACCCAGCAGTGCTCAGGGCTTCCTCCTGGTTCTGTGCTCAGGGATCATCCCTGTGGGACCATATGATGTGCTGGGGTCCCGGGATGCAGGGCATGCACCCTCCTCACCTTACTATACTATTTCTCCAACCCACAACTTTTTTTTCCCCTTGGGTCAAACCAGCGATGCTCAGGGGTCACTCCTGGCTCTAACCTCAGGAATTCTTTTGGCGGAGCTTGGGAATGGACCCCAGGTTGGGCATGTGTGTGTGAAAGACAATTAAGTGACTTCCCCGCTGGGTTCTTCTCTCCAGTCCCATGGGCTGCTCTTTCCTGAGTGAGACCTTTCTTGGCTCACTCAACCTCACCCCAGGGATTGAAGCCAAAGTTAATGGTGGGGTAGAGGTGTCCCGGGATGGGGGGCATTTTTAGGTGATGGGAAATCTCTGAGGTGGGCCGGGGACTTGGGCTGGGTGGTGCTAGGATTCTCCTGCCTGACATTGGAAGATAGGCGCGAGCAGCCAGCTGGGTGCCCCTCATTGTCCCTGGCCTCCCCTGACTATGCCTGTGCTGGTTTAATGGGACAGTGAGGGCATTTGCCTTGCACACGGCTCACCCGGGTTCTACTCCCTGTGCCATGTGGTCCCCAGCCTGGCAGGGTGCAGCCCTGGGGGGCCCCCTCGAACACCATGGGGTGCCACACCCTTAGGCCTTGCACTGCTGCTGGGGGGATGCTGGTCTCCTGAACACCTCTCGGGAGGGTTCCCCCCAAATGATCTGGCATGAACCGGGTGCCTGGGGTCCTGCCTTTTTTGGAGGGGAAGGGGTGACTCTCGCAATGCTCAGGACCGACTCCTGGCTCTGAACTGAGGGATCACTCATGGCGAGACTTGGGGGACCATATAGGATGGTGGGGGTGAAATCGAGGAACCAGGTGCAGGTCAGCACCCTTCCCTCTGCGCCACTGCTCTGATCTCCACCTGCTCTCCCACCCTGAGGTGAACAGCCCCGCCCTGCCCAGAATAGGCATGGGAAGCCACAGTGGGGGCTCCTGTTCTCCCCCCGCCCAGGTCCCATGCTCATAGGGGCCACCCTCCTGCTTCCCCTCAGGCTCAGGAAAAGCTGAGCCCCCCAGGCGCTGCCCGGCTTGAGTGCCCACGTGGAGTGGACATCAACTGAGACCCCAAGGTGGGTGACAGAGGGGCTGGAGCGATAGCACAGCGGGGAGGGCATTTGCCTTGTACATGGCCGACCCGGGTTCAATTCCCAGCATCCCATATGGTCACTGCCAGGGGTAATTGCTGAGTGCAGAGCCAGGAGTGACCCCTGAGCATTGCTGGGTGTGACCCAAAAAAAAAACCAAGGTAGGTGACAGAGAGGAGACCTTCCCAGCCTGCCACTCTGACGCTGGGTCTTCAGGGGCTCCCCAGACTGGCCAGGGCGATGACCTTCCCTCAGGGGCTGGCCCCCTGCCTGCCTTGGCCACCCTGAGAGGTTCCTTTCGTCCTCCCCTGGGGCAGTGGTCGCCTGTCACCTTCCCTCCACCCCGGGGGCTGGCGGCAGCGGCTCCGCCTGGACGGGTGTCGCATCTGGCACTGAACCGGCAGGTCGGGTGGGCCTCTGGGGTCCAGGCCAGAGGAGTCTCAGAGCTGCGGGCGTGAGGGCGGGGCCGCTGCGCAGGCTCTCCCAGCGGAGGAGATCGGAGCCCAGGCCCGCGCCCACACCTGCCCTGTGCCGGGCGTCGCTCCGCGGGGAGATGCGTGTCCGGAGCGGCGCGCGTCCGGGCCGGGCGCAGGGCGGCGCGGGGGCCTGGGCGCGCGGGAGCGGGAGCCCCGGGTCTCTGCGCCCTCGGGGACCTCGGGGACCCCGTGGGGGCGACTCCGGCGGCACCCGGCGCCTCTGGGGCCGGGGCGGCGGCGGGGCCGGACCCGGGGTGCCCGCTCGGCCCGTCGGGGGCCCGGGGCGCGCCTCGACGGCGCGCGGCCCCCGCCAGCCGCCCGGCCGGCGCTCGGGACTAGTCCCCGCAACTTGTTCGCGCCGTTAACTAGTCGCCTGCCGGAGCGATGGGATGGGGTTGCCACAGCAACCGGACTGGACGTCACAATCCGGGCCCGTGCGCGCCCCCCCCCGCCCCCCGCCGTACCTACCACCGCGCCGCGGCGCCGCCGCCGCCACCGTCGCGGGCTGCGGGACGCGCGCTGCGGGGCGCGGCGGGCGGAGCGGCGGGTGCGGGAGCGGCTCAGCGGCGAGCGCAGGGTGGGCAGGGGCGGCGGGGGGCGCCGGGGGTCCGGGGGGGGTGGGTGGGCGCCGCCGCCGCCATCTTCTCGCCGAGGCCGCCGCGCCCGCCGCGCCCGGCCGGCAGCGCACGGGTTAAGGCTGGCACCGCGCCCGGCGGGAGGGGGGGCGCCCACCTCCCCTCCCCCCCCACCCCGCGCCGGGCATGCGGGGCCCGCCGGGCACCGAGGACGAGCCGCCGCGGCTGTTCGCGGACGAGATGGAGAACGAGGACGAGATGTCAGGTGCGCGCGGGGGGCGCGGGGCGCCGGGGGCGCGGCGGCGCGGGGGGCGCGGAGGGCGCGGGGGGCGGGGGCGCGGGGTCAGCCCGCTGCCCTTGAAAGGGGCGGGCGTCGCGCGGCCCCCGGCGCCCGCCCCGCGCGACTCCCCGGGGTCCCCCGGGCTCCCGCGCCGGGCTGGGTGCGGCCGGCCGGGAGCCCGCCGAGGATGGGGCGTGCTCCGGGGGTCTCGGCGCGGGCCGCGGGGGCGCGGCGCCCGGACTCTCCCTCCCTTCTTCCCTCCCTCCCTCCCGCGCCGCTGCCTGCCGGGCACTGAGCTGGCGGCCGGGCGGCGTCCTGGCGCGCTGACCTTTGGCTGCACCCGGGGCCGCCGCCCCTGCCCCGGCCCGCGCGCCCCAGGGTCTGGCCTCCCGCCGCGCCCCGGCCACTTGCTCCCCGTCTGTTTGGGACGGTGCCCCTGGGTCCCCCCACCCTGCGCCCGCGGGGCCGGCCGCGCCCTGTCCCCCCCCACCTCTCTCCCTGCCTTCTGGGGACTTTGCTGCTACTTGGTAACAGGGCATGGGCCTTCCCGGGAGCACGCCCCCCACCCCGACACCTGCCAGGCGCTTTTTCTCTGGGAGAGAGGAAGAGCCCTAGCACACCCCACCCCAGAGTCCAGGGCAGCAGCTTGGGGCGCAGGGTCCTCCGGGGGCACCCGCATCTCCCTACTCAGAACCCCCAGGGCTCCCCCAACTCGTAGCAGAGCCGAGTTCCCTAGGAGCAGGGCAGAGGAGTTGAGTCCCCGAACTGGACTGTCCAGCCCCATGTCCAGGGCGCGTGGCCCACTGCCCCTGGGGGTGCCAGAGACCCAGCAGGCTCCTTGCAGGGTGCGGCCCTCAGTGGGACATGTCCTTCGAGGAGGCAGGGCAGGGCGTGGCCTGGGTCACCAGGCGCCGCACCCCTCGGCTGGGGTCCCCCTGACCCCTCTCCTGAACACTACGTGGTCTTTCTGCCACGTCCTGCGGTGGGGGATGGGAGACGGACGGGCGTGGGCACGGGAGCCCTGAGCCCACTCCGGTGGCCTGCCCGCCCCTTCGGATCCTCCCTCTGCTTGTGACCACTGTGCCGGGGTGCCCCCGACCTCTAGGACTCTCCCCCAAACCCTACTGTGGTCCCTCCGGCCGGCAGGGAGACCCTATGTGCCACCTTCCCCCGCCCCCCCCACCAGCCCCCTTCACCGACCTCCCTAGCTGGTTCCCTCTGCCCCTAAGTCCTAACCAGTTCCCCTAACCAGCCCCTAGGCCAGGCCCCCAAGCCAGCCCCCCTAACAGTCCCCCAACAGCCCCCCGGTGTCCACGTTCCCTGCGCCCATCCAGGGGCCAGACCCCAGAGAGGCCCAGCGCTCAGACTCCCTGCCCCCCACCCCGCACTGGACCTGCTCCGGCCTCCTCCCCCTCTCCCCCCACCCCACCACCGGGGGCTCTGCACCCTGAGCAGAAGCCTCCACCCCTTCCAGGGGGCATGCAGGAGACACTTGGGCCCCAGGTCCATCCACTAGCAGCACTGCGGGGCCCGGGCAGCACCCCCGAACTCTGCTGGGCTCGTCCCCAACCAGAAAACAGGACAGTTGTGGTCTCAGCCTGAGGGCTCTCGGGGTCCTGAGGTCGTAGGTGGCCCTGGATGCTGCGACCTCCCTGTGAGGTGCTGTGTCCGCCCCCCACCCCTGGGTGGGTGTGGAGCCCAGCCTACGGCACCAGCATCCGGGTTGGGGGAGGAGCTGGTGTGTTGGGAGTGACGGGAATTTTCACATCTGCCGCAGCTGCATTGGGTCCTTGTCAAATTCATCCTTCCCACCATCCCCCCATTCACCCCCGTTTCTCTCTCTGCACTGGTGTTTGGGTCCTCTGCCTCTGCCACTTGCCTGCCCTCTGAGCTGAGGCAGGCCAGCAGGTCTTCCTGGAGGAGGAGGACTGCAGGGGGACCTCTCAGGGCCCACAGTTGCCCCGTTCTGGGTTGGGAGGGAGGCAACGTGAAGGCTCCAGAGTTCAGGGGCTCTGGGTTCTGCAGCTGAAGATGCTGATTTGGGGTGGCTGATGCCCCCTCTGCCTCAGTGTCCCCTGTGTGGAATGAAGTTGTCGTCCTGCTACGTCATAGAGGGTAATTGTGAGGGCCGGAGATGGGGCATGTGGAATGTCCAAGTCACAGTGCCCGGTCCAGAAATGCTCCTGATATCTGGGGATGGCCCAGGCAGTGCCCAGTGCAGGGGCCCAGCCCTCCTTCCCTGAGGAGATGCTTCCAAGACCTGCGCCTTCACCCAGTAAGTGGGGGCACGGGTATCCAGGCCACTGGCGGGCCTTGATGCAGCACCCTGGGGCCACCCTCTCTCGGGTGCTGGCAGGACCCCAGTCTCCGGCACGCCCCAGACTGGCACACCCAGCTCCTCTCCTGCCAGCATGTGGCCCCTTGGGGACTGTGACCCTCCCTGTCCCCGAGTCCCAGGGCTGACTTTGGCCAAGGAGCATCTTTGGCCTGACTGGGCACAGCTCCAGGCGGCTGTGATGGCCCCGCACCGTGTCAGCTGACCCTGCTCAGGGACCTGTGTATGGGGTCTGGGCGCCTGGCCCCTCAGGCTCTGTCGGGAGCAGGAACTCTCCGAGCGGCCCTCTCTGCCCAGGATCTTAGGGTGTTCCTCTCAATTCAGATTGATCAAGGATTCATTGATCATTTCATCAACTCAACTGCTCACTCACCAACTACTACACATCTGCAGCCACACCCCCGCCCAAACATCTCCCACTGACCATTTACCCCCTTCACTATCCTTCTACCTATTCACCTATCCATCCGTTCTACCACCTAGTCTTCCTACCATCCACATACCCATCCGTCCTCCCATCCATTGACCCACCCACCCATCTACCCATGCACCATTTCATCCATCCATCCATGCATCCACCGTCCACCCACCTATATCATCACCTACCTATACATTGATCTGTCTACCCATCGACCCCCTCATCCTTCCATTCATCCACTCATTTCTCCATCTACCCATCTATCAATCTGCCTACCCACAGACCACCTATTTATTCATCCACTGACTCACCCATCCATCCATCCACCCATCCACCCACTCACCCATCCACTCACCCATCTACCCATCTATCCATCAATCCATCATCCACCCACCCATCCATCCATCTCCCCATCCATCCACCTTCCCCTCCATCCATCCATCCATCCTCCCATTCATCCATCCATTCACCCATCCATCCACCCATCCACCCACCCCTCTACCCATTCATTCACCATCCATCCATCCATCCATCCATCCATCCATCCATCCTCCCATTCATCCATCCATCTTCCCATCCATCCACCCACCCATCCACCCATCTATCCATCCTACCTCCCACCCACTCATTCACTCTACTGTCCATCTATCCACCCAGTTATTGGGTATTGGTCCATCTACCAATCTTTCTATCATTTCTATACATGTTTTTTCTTTTTTTTTTTTTTTTTTGCCTTTTGTCTCACACATGGCAGTGCTCAGGGCTTATGCCTGGTTCTGTGCTCAGGAATCACTCCTGGTAGGCACGGGGTACCATCTGGGTTGGGGGACTGAATCTGGGTTGGCCATACCCCACCCACTGTACTATTGCTCCGGCCCCTACTTCTTTTGAAGGGGCTATAGGCCAATCCCGGTGCAGCCCGTGGTCTATTCCTGGCTCTGCTCAGGGGATCCTAGGTAGTAATTTTGTACCAGGGAATTGAACTGGGTCAGCAGGAAGTGAGGTCGGCACTTTGACCCCGGCACCATTAGGCTGGGTAGACAGAAAGCAGGTAAGGCACTTGCCTCGCATGTAGCCAACCTTGGTTGGCTCCCTGGCACTGAGTATGGTCTCCTGAGTGCCACCAAGAGTGATCCCTGAGCACAATAATGAACCCTGTACAACTGTCTCTCCAGCCCCTCCCCCTCCCCAGCCATCCCTCCTACCCCCTCTCTACTCTCTAACCTCTAACCCTCTCTAACCACTGTGCTATTGCTCTCATCCCCTTTATTGTTTTGTGGGCCACACCCTGCAGTGCCCAGGAGTGATCCCTGGCAGTGCTCGGGGGGCCAATATAGTGCTGGGGCCAGGCTGGAGTTGGCTGTATGTGAGGCAGCACCTTCCCCACCGTCCTACCTCCCCAGGGCCCACCGTCCTGTCTCCCCAGTGCCCAGCGCTGCCCCTCATAGATCCCTTGAGCATCTTCTCTGGGCAGATGTTGAAGCCCACGCAAGCACAATCCTGAGCAGTTTTGGGGACTTTGGTTTTGTTTATTTAGGGGCCACACCTGGTGATGCTCAGAGGTCACTCCTGGCTCTGCACTCAGCAGTTACTCCTGGCAGTGCTCAAGGGGACCATATGGGATGCTGGGGATCGAACCCAGGTCTGCCAGGTGCAAAACAAGCACCTTCCCTGTTGTACTATTTCTCCGGCCTCTGCTTTTTTTTGGCGGGGGGGGGGGTGGAGCCACACCCAGAAATGCTCAGGGATTACTCCTGGCTCTGCGCTCAGGAATCACTCCTGGCAGTGCTCAAGGGGGCCATATGGGATGCCGGGATTGAACCCGGGTCGGTTGCATGCAAGGCAAATGCCCTCCCTGCTGTACTATGCTCCAGTACCCCCTCTCCCTCCCTCCCTCCCTCCCTCTCTCCCTCTCCCTCTCCCTCTCCCTCTCTCTCTCTCTCTTTCTCTCTCTCTCTCTCTCTCTCTTTCTCTCTCTCTCTGTCTCTCTCCGACCTCTGGAGACTTTTTTTTTTCTTGGAACCTTCATCCCTCTAACCACCTCACGTCTCTCCCCTCCGGCTTCACGTTTCATGTCTGTCTCTGCTCCCTCTTCTCTCTCTCCCTCGACCCCGCATGGACCGCCATCACGGCCCCCTTGTTTCTCCTTCCCTCCTTGCAGTGTTCTGAACAGTCATGAGCGCCCCTCCTGGCCTCCCTGAGGCCGACCCTCCCCAGCCCACAGGGCTGAACCTTTAGGGTGGGCACTCCCCTGTCACCCCCTCCACCCCCGGCACCATCTCCTTTGATGAGATACAAATGAGGTGATGTCTGGGCTTTGTGAAATGTTATAAATAAGTTATTACTTGTCTCCCGGGCAGGTACCCTGGCCCCTATTATCAGTAGAGGCCTGCGGGTGGGGGTATCCCACAGACTGAGGGGTGCCCTTCCTTGCAGGCATTAGAGTGATCCCGAGGACCCCTAGCCGAGCAGTGCCCCAAGCATGACCCTCCCCTGCCTCTGCCAGGAGTTGCCCAGGGCTCAGCCGCCCTGTGGCACCTCGGTTTCCCTTTTTCACCGCTCCATCACCCCCGAAAGGGCTGTTTGGAAGAAATGAGCCCAGGGACTGGAGCGATAGCACAGGGGGTAGGGCGTTTGCCTTGCACGCAGCCAACCCGGGTTCGATTCCCAGCATCCCATATAGTCCCCTGATTACCTCCAGGAGTAAACTCCTGTGTGCAGAGTCAGGAGGAACCCCTGAGCATCGCTGGGTGTGACACAAAAATAAAAAAAAAAATAGAGCCCAACAGGGAAGGAACTCGTGCCAGCCCAGGAAGGCAGGCGCAGGGGGGCAGAACCCGCTCCCACCCGTCCCCTTGGCCTGTGGGGGCACACAGGGCTGGGTGTGGGGTACACAGGGCCCCTTCCTCCAGAGGGCCTGGTGGACCCTGGACTGGGTCTGATGCCGGCCCTGCCCCCAGAACCCCCCCCTTTCCTCACCAGTCCTGTCCTCTCGTCCTCGTGCTTGTGTCTGATGGTTTTGCCGGCTTGGCTCCTTCCTGCCCAGGGACCCTCCCCAGATGAGGAGGCAGAATCCGGACCCTCCTGTGGTCTGCGGGGGGGACCCCCGTGTGGCGTCCAGACCCTGGCTGGTGCCCACAGCTCATGTCCTTGCTTGTGGGGGGCGGGGGCTGACCCTGAAGGGCGGGGCTGGAACCCATCCTGGGGGTGGGATTCTCTTGTCTCCGTCCCCTCCTGGCCCTCATGCCTGCGCTGTGGGCAAGAGTCCCCGAATCTCAGCACCCTCATCTGCCTGCCGTGTACAGACAAACTGAGCAGAACTGTGCCGTGTGCAAATGAAACGAGCAGAGAACTGTGCCGTGTGCAAACGAATGAGCCGAGAGCTGGGTTGGCGTGCTGCACAGGGGGGCTGGTGTATGTCTGAGCCGCTGCTGCTGCTCTGGACCCCCGGGAGGGAGCTGAGCTCCCCACCCTGCCCAGTCCAGCCCTCTGTGGACTCTTCCCCCTCCACCCCCAGCCCCCAGACCCGAGCCGAGCTTGTGCTGGAATAGCCAGGCGCTGGGGGTGGGCTCAGGAAAAAAACACAGAAGGTGCCCTCTGCCCTGGTGGACCCTCCCCTTGCCCCCCAGCCCGGCCACGGCCTCCCCACCCCCTTCCGCAGGCCACTCCGACCTGCTGTCTGGAGGTAGGAGCGCGGCCAGGCTAATGCACCCTAATTACAGCCGACGTGGATGGATGGCGCCTCTGTGCAGACTCTGGCGGTGTGGGGGGGTGGTGTGCGGGGCGGGCTGGGCACGGAGGGCGCTGCTCAAGGCTGGCAGGGCCGCGGGGTCCCGCCCCATGTCCAGAGGAGGGGCCCAGCCCGGGGGGCTCCAGGATGGTTCTGGAATTCTGGAGCCTGCGAGAGGAGGGGGAAGGGCAGATGGTGGGGGCAGCGTCACGGGTGGCTGTCCTTGTGGTATCCAGGGGGCCCCGGGGCTGTGGGGGAGGAGACGGGTGATGGCTTCAAACTGCGCTGGACCTTCCTGGGGTCCATCACCCACGGGTAGGGACCCGACGCGAGGGCTTCTGGGAAGGGCCTGTGTGTCTGGGGGGGTGGCAGGGGTCTGGGCTCTGCTCCTCCCTCCCGGCCTGCGCTAGGCACGGATGAGGGAGCAGCTGCCCCGCAGATCACCGCTGTTCTTCCAAAACCTTCTGCCACCACCTGTCTCACTCCTTGTTGTCTGGGCAGTGGGTTGGGGGTGCCGGGAGACGGTGGGAGGCGGGTGGGGGAGACCCCCAGGATCGCACCCACCCAAGCCCACGGCAGGAGCCGGGCTGGGCCTTGCCTGGGCACGAGGGCGGGGCTACCCTGGAGCGGGGTCCTGGGGTTGACTCCCTCTCCTGCTCCTCACCAGCTACCTCTGGCCGACCCCGGGGGTTCCTGCGCCTGTGCTCCCACCTCCGGGACCCCACCGCTGCCCTCTCATGTGCAAGCAGTCCCAGGAGGTGCCCAGCACGGTCCTGCCCTCAGCACTGACCCTGTGTCCCTCATTCTCCTCATTGCCCGCCTGGACTCCGTACCCAGCAGGGTGGGGCTGGCCAGGCTGACCAGGGCGGCCACTTGCCCCTGCCTGCACTGCCCCGTGCACGCCTCAGGGAGGGGTCAGGAGGGGGGTCAGGGGGGTCAGGATGGAGGGGTCAGGATGGGGGTTCAGGAGGGTGATCAGGAGGGGGGATCCTCATGTCAGCCTTCCTGGGGTGGATTGGGGGCACTGGTCAGGTGTGCCCCCCCATAAGGACCGATTCTCAGAGGGGCGTATCCTGGCCACCCAGCCTCCTCGTTGGCCTCTGGACCCACTGCGGTCACCCTCGGGCTGAGATGCTGCCCTGCTGAGCTGGGGGTCTGTGCCACGTGGGCCCGGCTCTCGTCCAGGGCGGCGGGGCCCCTCCAGAACCCACCTTTGCCCAGGCCCGGCTGGGTCTCCTCCGTGCAGAATTGTTTCCTGGGCTCGTTTGCCGCAGCGGACAGCCTGTCTGGCTGTCCTGGTCACCTCCCTGCCTGGGCGTCTCAGCCCTTTAGGGTGGGGACTGGGGCTTCAAAGGCCCTAGGGCCTCACGTCACCCAGTCCCCCGAAGCAGAGGGACCCTGCCTTCCTGGGCTGGACGCCATGTGGCCTCGGCCCTCTCCAGGGTGCCCACTTGGGGCGCCCCTTCCTGCCAGATGGTGGGGGTGGGGCCTGTGCCCCTGGTTTCCTGGAGGGGGAGGCGCCCCCAGAGTGGCCCCTGTGATGCCGCAGGGTGGGCGCTGCGGGCCTGTGATGACCGCGCCCCCCCTCCCCTGCAGAGGAGGAAGACGGCATCCTGGGGGGCTTTGAGGATTTCTTTGCCGAGGAGCCCGTGAGCCTCCCCAAGAAGAAGAAAGCCCGAAAACCCAAGGAGAACAGGTCCAAGGGGAAGCGGAAGAAGAAGGAGGTGAGAGTCAGCGGACCCCAGGGGCCCTTCCCTGGGCACGACCCTTGACTCCGGCAGGCGGGAGGGCAGGTCCCCTGGGCGTGACCCCATTTCCAGAAGCTTCCTCATGTGCCCACTCAAGATCCCCCTGGGGAATGGGTGGGGAAGGACGAGCCCAGCAGAGGACAGAGGGAAACTGAGGCTGACGCAGCATGAACTTCCCTCGTCGGGGAGCAGCCGGGCTGGGTCAGGTCACTGCTCTGGCCGCTGGGCTGCTGTCCACCTTCAGGACCCACTGGTGCTGAGTTGGGGTGCAGGGGTGGCTCAGGGGCTCCCTGTGAGCCCCCACCTGCTCTTCCTTTGCTCTCCTTCCCCTGCACAGGGGAACCCTGTTTCATGGGGGCTGGGTGGGGGTTCAGGACTCCTGATTTGCACCCGCCATGTTCCCTTCCTCCCCTCCCCACCCCTCCCATCCCCCATTCCCCTCCATCGCTCTCCCCCTCCCTCCCCTCCTTCCGTCCCTCCTCCTCACTCTTTACCCAGGTGCAGCGCAGGGTTCTGAAGTGGGGAGACTGGGATGGGGGAGGATGGAGGCTTCAGACGAGCTTCTAGCCATCTACATATGCCAGGTCCCCAAGGTCACCCCGGGGCCACCGCGCCCCTGGCCCCATGTTCCTGCCAGCCTGGCTCTGGCTGGCTGTGGGGTCTTAGGGGCCTTAGAAGGCCTGAGGCAGGATCCTGGCCTTGTAGCTCCCCTCGCTGTGTGGGTCCTTGGGGCGTGGGGAGGGGGGATCCACCCCTCCTTGCTGGTCATCCCTACCCAGGTGCTCCCCAGAAGGGGGTGCAGATGAGCCCTGCAGTGGGACACAGGCGGGGGGGGCCTTTTGGGGAGCACAGCCCCAAGCTGTGGTTCTGATTTTCATAAAATACCCGGGAACCTGAGCATATGTAGATGAAGCGGCTTGTCAGACCCAGCACAGGAGGAGAAACGGTTTCAACCTGTACCGCAGTGGTTCCCATGGCAACCAATTATTCAGTGCTAAATTGTAACTGTTTATAACACTCGTGAATGGGAAGGCTCGCATTTCTCTCCTTCCTTCCCTCCCATTCTGGACGACCCCAATCGAGAATGACCAACTCCCGGAGTCTGTCCCTTGGAGTGTAAACGCCTCCTTTCCCCCCACGAGGCTGATGGGGTGCGTGTGTGCGTGAGTGTGTGTGTGTGTGTGCGCATGCGCACTGCGTGTGGAGGAGGTGGCCTGGGCGGGAGCTGCAGAGGCGGGCGCCACTGCCCGCTGGGGTCCTTCCCGCGCCTGTGCTGCCCGCAGGGTGGGCTGAGGGGGTGGGCTGCTCTGCAGAGGGACTTGGTCAAGGCCTTCAAGTGCTCTGACGCTCTATCCTGGGGTGAGCGCGGCAGGGACCCTGCCCACCTCTTCTGGGTGCCCGGGAGTTTCGGGGTACAAACACAGGTCATCCCTTCCCTCCGGGTCCAGGTCATGGCAGCTGCTCTCGGAGGGGTTTCAGAAGCATCTCTGCTCTTTTCTTTGTGAAAAAACATTTGGGAATGATCTGGAAAGGTTTGGGAATGATCTGGAAAGGTTTGGGAATGATCTGGAAAGGTTTAGAAATGATCTAGAAAGGTTTGGCAATGATCCAGAAAGGTTTGGGAATGACCTGGAAAGGTTTGGGAATGACCTGGAAAGGTTTGGGAATAATCTGGAAAGATTTGGGAATGTCTGGAAAGATCTGGGAATGGTCCAGAAAGGTTTAGGAATGTCTGGAAAGGTTTGGGAATGTCCTGGAAAGGTTTGGGAATGATCTGGAAAGGTTTGAGAATGATCCGGAAAGAATTGGGAATGATCTGGAAAGGTTTGGGATGATCCAGAAAGGTATGGGAATGATCCGAAAGGGTTTGGGAATGATCCAGAAAGGTTTGGGAATGGCCTAGAAATGGTCAGACCTCACCTGGGAATAGCATGTGCCATGGAGATGCGCCCCTTGTCTCCCTGAACCCCTCCCCTGAGGCCTGTCCTGCACCCCGCCCTGACGTGCCTCGAGTTCTGACCAGCTGGGCAGGTGGGCAGTGTGCATCACCTGGTGGAGAGAGAAGGTGGCCAAGGGGCTGGCATGGGTCTCAGGCTGGGGGCTGACATTGGTGACCGTTCCTCAGCGCCTTTGCCCTCCTGTTGGGCAGTCTCGGGTGCTGCTTGGAGGAGTGCCGACCCCTTCCCCCCTCCCGCCGGCTACGCCCCACTTCCTGCACAGCTGCTGCCCACCAGATGGTCAGGTCAGCCCCCTCAGATGTCACAGCCCTGCTGCAGGCATCATGGGGCGTGGCTGTGTGGAGGTCGCCCCGGGCGTCGGGGGCGGAGTGGAGACTGGCGGCAGGGTTGGTGTTCACGCGGAGCTGGGGTGGTTCTAGGGCCTTGTCCAGGCTGAGGGCAGCCGGGCAGGAAGCACCACATCTGAGCGGTGTCCTGAGGGGTCTCGGTCAGGTCCTTTATTTCGGAATGTGCCAGGCTCTGCCACGCTCATTGCAGACGGAGTCGCTGAGGTCTGATGGCTCAGGGTCATTCCTGGTCCCCAGGCTGGCAAATCAAGAGCCCCGGGTGTTCCGGCCCCTAGCCCCTCCCCGTCCTTGGCATGGCGGGCATCACCCCAGGTCCTGCAGTCCTGGGCTGGCTGTGCCGCTGTCCGTGGTGCTGAATCCCGAGGCCGTCTCCGGCCGGGGACGCTAAGATGTGCTGAACGCAACACTCTCGGATCCACGGCTTTGCTGTCCGCCTTCTGCCTCGAGGGACAGTCAGAGCTGGGCAGCTGCGGCCCCGGTGCCAGAACGGGAACCGGGATCTGCATGGCCTCTGGGCTCTGGTGCGGCCAAGCCAGCATTCCGGGAAACGGGGCCCGTGTGCCAGCCAGCAGCAGCCACTGACTCAGGCTGATGGGGGAGGAGGCTGGCGCGGCAGCCAGGAGCAGGGGGGTGGGGGGATGGGCGCTTCTGCCAGCTGTATCTGGGGGTGCCTTCTGCTGGGGAGAAGTTGATGGGATCATGCAGTGGAGCGGCTCCTGAGATTCCGGACACGGTGGCGCTGCCTCCCCCTCCCACACAATGCCCCTCCCTCTGCCCCCTCCACCCTGTCCTCTCTCTCTGGCCCTCTCACCCCTCCCACGCCCCTTTCTACTCACCCCTCCCATCTCTCTACTCACCCTGAAGACTCTAGCTAGCCTGAATGCCAGCCGGGAGGGGCCTGGGAGGGCATCCCAGCCACTGACGTCTCCAAGGGCGGCAAGCGAACAGCTTTTGGGGAGGGGTTATACCTTTGGGGGTTGCTGTACTCCTGCTTAAACCCTGGTCTCTATATAGATAGTTTTTTTTTTTTTTGCTTCTTGGGTCACACCTGGTGATGCACAGGGTACACTCCTGGCTCATGCACTCAGGAATGACTCCTGGCCATGCTTGAGGACCCTATGGGATGCTGGGAATTGAACCTGGGTCAACTGCGTGCAAGGCAAATGCCCTACCCGCTGTGCTATCACTCCAGCCCCGATAGAAGGGCCATTTTTTGCCCCTGCAGAAGGTGCACCAAGCAGCGTTGAGATCCTTGTCTCACATTGAGATGGTGTGTGTGTATGTGTGTGTGCGTGCATGCACGTGCGTGTATGTATGTGCTTGGTGTGAACTATGACATTTGGAAAGACCCCCAGAGCCCCGGAAACAAGGCTTTGCGCTAGAGCCTCGTCCTGGCTAGCCCACAGCTGTGAACACAGCAGAGAAAGATCCAGGAAAGGGAGCAGTGGACTCTGGGGCCTTGTGGGGCCCCTGCCCCTCCTGACCGGCCCTGCCCTCCAGGGGAGCAATGACGAGCTGTCAGAGAATGAGGAGGTGCCAGGAGGGAAGTCTGAGAGCGAGGGCAGTGACTACTCCCCGACCAAGAAGAAGAAGAAGAAGCTCAAGGAGAAGAAGGAGAAGAAGGCCAAGCGCAGGAAGAAGGAGGAGGAGGAGGAGGACGGCGAGGACGGGGGCCTCAAGGTACCTACACTTCGCACCTGGGACCCGGCTCCGGGCCAGATGGGCAGCGGGTTTGCACATGTGCACTGAGTGTGAGTGTGCACAGCTGTGTATGTGGTCAGGTGTGTGTATCAATATGGGTGCCCCTATGTTCCTGTGTACACAGGCATGTACCATGTGTGCACACACACGTGCCTGCATGCACTGGAGTACACATGTACCTCTGTCTATGCACACCCCTGTATGCATGCCTGTTCTTGTGCACATATACATGCAGGTGTGCCCGTATGACCTGTGACCAGTGCATGTGTGTCTACATGTGCCCATAGACACATGTGTGAATATGTACATGTGTGCCGTGTACACATGCACCTAAGCACCTGTGTATACGTGTGCAGCATTACATATCTGCGTGCACCTGTGTACACATGTATGTATGTCTGTTACATGTGCATGTGCCCCAGTGTACATATGAGTATGTATACACCCACCTATGTACACATGTGTGTTCCAGTGTACACATACCTGTGTCCATGTATGTGCCCTGTATGCATGTGTCAAATACCTGTGTGCATGTGTGCATGCCGAAGTATGCCTGTGTGCACACATTTGTCAGTGTATGCATGCTTGAGTGTGCCTGTGTACACTCACATATGTACCTGTGCATGTGTGCTCATGTGTGCCTGTATGCAAGTGTGTGTGTGTGTGTGTGCGTGTGTGTGTGCATATGCATGTCTCAGCCAGGAGCAGTTTGGGGAAGTGAAGACTCTGGAGAGTTCTTGGCCTCATCAGCCCCTCCCTCTCCTGGGGGAGTGTCTGCTTGGGACTGTCTGGGTGGGCCTGAGCCAGGACTTGGGGTGTGAGGGGGAGCTCTGGGGGACCATGCGAATTCATGGCCCAGGGCCTGTCACCCCCCCAGTTCCCGTGACCCCCCAGGGCCCATCACCCCCAGTGCCTGTCATTCCTGAGTGCCTGTTACCCCAGTTCCCATCACCCTCAGCACCTGTCACCCCCCAGTGCTTGTCACCCCCAATGCCTGCCACCCCCAGGCCCATCACCCCCTGTGTCCATCATCCCCAGTGCCCGTCACCCCCAGGGCCTGTCACTCCCAGTCCCCGCGGCAATGGCAGGATGTAACTGAGGCGCAGGCTCAGGCCCAGCTGTCTCTGTCCCGTCCTCTCTCTGGCCAGGCCCCTTTCTGCCCAGGGGCCAGCAGGTGTCCCCACATGCCAGGCACAGGCCTGCTGCCTATCCCAGGACACTTCCCTCCCGAACATGCCACTGCACGCTGCTGCCAACCCCCCATCTCGGGACCCCCTCCAGAACCTGTCCCTGCCCGTCCCGCCCCTACATAGCTCCCGCGACCTCCTCCCCGCCCCCCGGGTGTCAGTGTGAGCCTGACCCCTGTGTGACAGGAACCCAAGTCATCTGGGCAGCTCATGGCCGAGTGGGGCCTGGACGACGTGGACTGCCCGTTCTCGGAGGAGGACTACCGCACACTCACCAACTACAAGGCCTTCAGCCAGTTCCTCAGGTGGGCGGCAGGGGGTGCCACGAGGGGCTGCACACTCGGTGCTGGGCCCGGGACCCGGTGAGGAGGTTGCCAGTGGCGCCCCGTGAAGCGGTGGGGAGGGGCGCCCTGCCTGGGGACCACCCTCGTCATGGCGTTCGTCCTCTCCTCGTCCCCTCCCCTCCCTTTCCGCCCAGTTTCCTGAGCCTGCCCCGAGCCTGGGGACTGACCCCGCGTCTCCCCTGCAGGCCCCTCATTGCCAAGAAGAACCCGAAGATTCCCATGTCCAAGATGATGACCGTGCTGGGCGCCAAGTGGCGGGAGTTCAGCGCCAACAACCCCTTCAAGGGCAGCTCAGCGGCAGCAGCGGCGGCGGCGGTGGCGGCAGCCGTGGAGACGGTCACCATCGCCCCACCACTGGCCATCAGCCCCCAGCAGCCGCCCCAGCCCGTGCCCATCCGCAAGGCCAAGACCAAGGAGGGGAAGGGTAAGGCCCGAGTGACCCCCACGGGGTCCCCACTCGGGATCTGGGGAGAGGGTGGAGGGAAGCATGGGACTGGGGGAGGCGTGGGGCGGCCTGCACTGGTGGGGTGAGGCGACCGAGAGGGAAGGGCGGGTTCCTGCAAGGACCCGAAGGGGGACAGAAGGGACCAGAGAGATGCAATGACCAGGCATGTGGGGGCCTTAGATCTTGGGGGCCTTAGATCTTGGGGGGTAGCAGCTCAGCCTCCCCAGGTGCCTGCTGGGGCTGGGGGTGCCGTACTTCTGGCTTCTGGGGTGTTGTGCCCCTCTGCCACCACCTCACAGGGGTCTGAGGGTCCTGGGGGCGGCCTTTCACCCCAACCCCCGCTCTCCATCTCGGCACTGGCTCCCGGCGAGGCTGCACTTGGAGCTGGGGCCCACAGGTCACCTCGTGGAAGCCCTGTTCCTCTCTATGTGACACGCAGAGGCACTGTGGGGGTCTCGGTGGGCCGCCTGGAGCCAGCCCAGCACTGTGCGGACCAGTATCACGGAGGCTGGCAGTGCCCGTCCCAACCTTGTCCTGCAGGGGGGACCCCAGGAGCCCTAAGATGAGTTCAGGCTGGACTTCCTGGGAAGGAGGCCGAGGGGCTTGGTGGCAGGGCCTCCCTGGCCCGTGCAGGCATGGCTGGGGTCCCCTCACCTCTGAGCTTTGGTCTCCCCCTGACGAACACCAGGCTGTGGGACTCCTTCACAGGACACCTGTCCCCTGAGGCTGGGCTGGGGGTCTGCCGGCAGGTGTCAGGAGGGTCCACTTCTTGCCTGTCCTCACCAGGGCCTGGCGTGAGGAAGAAGATCAAAGGCTCCAAGGATGCCAAGAAGAAAGGGAAGAAGAAGGTTCAGGGGCTCCGGCTCCGCCTCGGAGGGGGGGGCGGCAAGAGGAAGAAGGGGTCCTCGGTGAGTGGGGGAGGGGTGGGGTGAGTGTGTGAATGGACGTGGGAGAGGCCCAGGAGTGGATATGTGTGAGGGGAGTGGGCGTGAATAGCTGTGACAATCCGAAGGAACGTGGGCGTGTAATAGGGGAAGGCAGGGGTGTGAGAGGATGGGTGTGATGGGAGTGTAAGGATGAATGGGAGGGCTGGAGCGATAGAGCACAGCGCGGAGGGGGTTTGCCTTGCACGCAGCCAACGCAGATTCGATCCCCGGCATCCCATAGGGTCCCCTGAGCACCACCAGGAGTAATAATCCCTGAGTACAGAGCCAGGAGGATCCCTTGAGCATCGCCGGGTGGGACCCAAAAAAGCCAAAAGAAAAAAAAAGTCTGAACGAATGTGTAAACAAAAGCGTGAGTGGTGTGTGTGGGTGGGTTGGTGAGTGAGTGGATGGGTGTGTCAGTGGGAAAGGGAGCACGAAAGCGGGAGGGGATGAATGGGTGAAGAGTGTGGATGTGTGTGCATGTGAGTGAACAGAATGGGCGAGGGAGTGGGGCTGAGCCAAGGTGAGTGTGAGCGTAAGTGAGGAGGAATGAGAAGGAATGTTCTGGAATGGACATCACAAGGCAGGAGGAGCGGGTGTGCACAGGCGTGGGAGCATGTGGGTGAGCAGCCTGGAGACAGCTGCACCTCACGGGGGTGCTGGGTGTGGGCACTGGGTGGTCCAGAGAGCGACTGGGATGCGGTGCTTAATGTGGTCATTGAGACCCCCTCTTGCTGAAAGCCCATTTCCCATTACCTCAGTTTCCCCAGACTGGATTCCCAGCTCCCCTGCCCACACGCTCCCCCTCAGTCATCTGCCCAGCAAGTGACACCAGCTGCCTGGTTGGATGGGCAGGGGGACGGAGGGGAGGGCTGGCTGGAGCCCTTGGGCCCTTCTCTCTGCCCAGAACCAGTTCTGACTTGGAGCCTCAGGCCCTGAGTTGAGCTCTCCATTGTTTCTGCACCTGCTTCTCTGACCCGCCCACCCTGCGGAGACATGGGGGACACCCATCTCTGCGCCTTGCCGGGAGGGTCACAGTCCTGGGTTTAGCAGGAGCACTGGCCAGGCCCCGCCTCCGAGCTGTGGTCCATCCCAGCTCAGCGGATCTTCCAGTTGGTGTGCCTGCGACTGGGTCTCGACTCGGCCCTGAGGAGGGTTCTCCCCTGGGAGTGGGGGGAGGCGGGTAAGTGAGACAAGGCCCATAGGCATCAGGAGAGAGATCTGGGAAGGCTCCCTGGGAGAGGTGTCTCCTGAGGGCACTGGACGTGGAGTCTTGGAAGTCAGAGACAGAAGAGGGGCTCGAAGCAGGGCGAGGACATCCCTGGGGAGCCTGCCGTGGTCCTGCCCAGCCCTCGCCCCCATGGAGCTCACGGCGCCCCTTCCCTGCAGAGCGAGGAGGACGAGCGGGATGAGTCCGACCTGGACAGTGCCAGCGTCCACAGCGCCTCGATGCGCTCCGAGTGCTCCGCAGCCCTGGGCAAGAAGAACAAGAGGAGGCGCAAGAAGAAGAGGAGTAGGACCCCCCCAGCTGCCCCTGCCCCTGACTACCCCCTGACCCCAAAATGTCCCCATGACCCCTAAATGGCCCTCTGATCTGTGACTGCCCCTGCCCCCGACTGCCCCCTGACTCCCAGCCCCGAATGTCTCCTGATCCCTGAATGGCCCCTGACTCCGAATGCCCCCCTGAGTTGCAACTGCCCCTGACCCCCCTCTGCTCCTCTGACCCTGTCTGCTTCCCTGCCCCGTGCATCGTGGGCAGCGGGAGGGCTCCCTCCTGCCTTGGCCTCTCCTGGCCTCAGCTGCAGGTGTCCTGTGCAGCCTCTGGTGCCTGCTCAGGAAGGAAACCCGTGGCAGGAGGCCACCAAGGGTCCATGGGGGGCTCCTCCGACTGAGGCTTCCCCCTTGCAGCCCTCTGTCCTTTTATGTCCGACTCGTCACTGCCCCCCCCACCTGTTCATCACCCCCCCGCCCTCTGCCCACCACCTTTCTGGCTTCCCTGGGACCCCCCCCATACACCTCTGCCCCCTTTACCCTCCACCCCTCCACAGTGGACGATGGGGACGGTTACGAGACAGACCACCAGGACTACTGTGAAGTGTGCCAGCAGGGCGGCGAGATCATCCTGTGCGACACCTGCCCGCGTGCCTACCACCTCGTCTGCCTGGACCCCGAGCTGGAGAAGGCCCCGGAGGGCAAGTGGAGCTGCCCGCACTGTGTAAGGCCTAGGGCTGGCAGGGGGCGGGATGGGGGCCGGGGAGGGCCCCCCTCCGAGCCGCCCGGCCTGCATGCATCCCGCTCCAGGAGAAGGAGGGGATCCAGTGGGAGCCCAAAGAGGACGACGAGGAGGAGGAGGAGGGCGGCGGCGAGGAGGAGGAGGACGACCACATGGAGTTCTGCCGCGTGTGCAAGGACGGGGGCGAGCTGCTGTGCTGTGACGCCTGCCCCTCCTCCTACCACCTGCACTGCCTCAACCCGCCGCTGCCCGAGATCCCAAACGGTGAATGGCTCTGCCCGCGCTGTACTGTGAGTGTTACGCCGCCCGCCGAAGCCCTGCCCTGCCCAAAGCCCCGCCCACCGAAGCCCCACCCGCCAGACCCCGCCCACCAGAACCCCGCCCCGCTCCACCCCGCCCAACAAAAGCCCTGCCCCGAGGAAGCCCCGCCCTGTAAAGCCAGACCCAGCCCACCCAACGCCCGCCCCGCCCACCTGAAAGCCCCACCCAGCCCGCCCAACAGAAGCCCTGCCCCGCCGAAGTGATGCCCCAAAGCCATTCCCCATCCTACACAAAGCCCCGCCCCACCCTGCCCACCCAAAGCCTGCTCCACCCCCAAGCCCTGCCTGCCTGAAAAACTCTCCCTTGCTGACAGACCCCACCCACCCAAACCCGGCCCTGCTCCACCCCGCCCAATAGAAACCCTGCCCCGCCAAAGCCACGCCCCTAAGCCACGCCCCATTCCACACGAAGCCCACCCCGTGCCGCCAGACCCCTCCCACCCAAAGTCCGCCCCGCCCACCCAAAGCCCCGCCTACCCACTTATATGAAGCCCCACCCTATGCCACTAGGCTCTGCCCTCTCGGAAATCGTCAGTCCCAGAAGCCCCGCCCAGACGAAATCCCGCCCATCTCCACCCCGCCCACCAGAAGCCCCGTCTCATGGAAGCCCCACCCTGAGCCTCCAGACCCCGCCCACTAAATCCTCACCCCTTCCGGATCCCCCTCACCAAAGCCCAGCCCCCACAGGCCCCACCAGGGAGTCCCGCCCCACTTAAGCCCTGCGCACCCTCCAGGACCCGCCCCAGCAAAGTCCTGCCCCTGGAAAGCTCCGCCCCACCAGCTCACGCCCTGCTGTCCAGGCCTTGCCCACAGAAACGACATCCCCTCCCAGTCTCCCAGAGAGGCCTGACCTGTGTCCCTCGGGCCCAGCAGGTCTCGCTGCCCACCCAGCAGGCCTTCCCTCAGTGGGCACTTTCTACCCAAGCCCCCCCTTCCTCCAGGCAAGGCCACGCCCTCCCACAAAGCTCCGCCTAGATGAACCCTTGCCCACCCACCAAACACCCCTATTCGTCAGGCCCCCCCACAACCCGCAACTCCCACCCAAATTCCACCTCGGTTGGAGGCCACATCCCCAAACCCAGTCTGCAAAGGCCCGCCCCGCCAGCTGTCACTCACCTAGGTGGGTGGGGGCGGAGACCCTCTGGGCCCTTCCCGCCTCCTGCCGCAGCAAACCCCGCCCCTCGGGCGCGGCCCGGCTGGCATGCCCCCAGGCCACGCCCAGTGTCTCCTCTGGCCCCGCCCCACGGGCCTGCTCCTTGCTCCTCTGCTTCTTGGCCCTGTCCTGGGTGCTGGGAGCACTCTCGGGAGCCCCGGGCAGCCAGAGCAGAGCACAGCCTAGGGAGAGACAGCGACCAGCCTGAGGCCACTCCAGTGCGCTGGAGCCCCAGGGAGAGTAGGGTGCCCACACAAGTCCCCAGTCCTTGCAGGCCTTGGAGCTGTCCCTGAGCCTCTGTGCTGTCCCGCGTGTCCGTTCGTCTGCTGTGTGAACAGCACATGTGCCCCCACGGGGGCTGCAGTCCCTGGCGGGCTCAGGGGTGAGGCCCTGCGAAGCCCTGCACTTAGGGACCCCCCCCCGTCTGTCCACAGTGTCCCCCACTCAAGGGCAAAGTCCAGCGGATCCTGCACTGGCGGTGGACGGAGCCCCCTGCACCCTTCATGGTGGGGCTGCCGGGGCCGGACGTGGAGCCTGGTGGCCCCCCGCCCAAGGCCCTGGAGGGCCTCCCGGAGAGAGAGTTCTTCGTCAAGTGGGCAGGGCTGTCCTACTGGCACTGCTCCTGGGTGAAGGAGCTGCAGGTGAGGGGCCGGCAGGTCAGGTTCTTGGGCAGGTGCAGCCCCCAGGCAGGTGACACCCCTGGGCAGGTGAGGTCCCCAGGCAGGTGACACTCCTGTGCAGGTTACACTCTGGGCAGGTGACACCCCTGGGTAGGTGAGGACCTGGAGCAGGTGCAGCCCTGTACAGGTGACACCCCTGGGCAGGTGAGGATCTGGGACAGGTGCAGCCCTGGACAGGTGACACTCCTGGGCAGGTTACACTCTGGGCAGGTGACACCCCTGGGTAGGTGAGGACCTGGAGCAGGTGCAGCCCTGGACAGGTGACACCCCTGGGCAGGTGAGGTCCCCGGGCAGGTGGCACTCCTGGGCAGGTGAGGATCTGGGACAGGTGCAGCCCTGGTGTGTAGGGTCCCTAGGCAGGTGAGACCTCAGGCAGGTGGGGCCCTGGCAGGTGAGGCCCCGGCAGGTGAGGCTGTACTAGGCAGAGCCAGAGGTGCTGACCAGCTCCTTGGGGTGGGGCATTGCAGGTGCTGGGGAACTTGAGGGGGAAGATTTTCCTGGCTGGATTTTCCAGGCCAAGTGCAGGGAAACTGGTTGGGGGGATGTGACCTCTGTGCCCCCCTTGCCCCCCAATAGCTGGAGCTGTACCACACGGTGATGTACCGAAACTACCAAAGAAAGAACGACATGGACGAGCCGCCACCCTTTGACTATGGCTCTGGGGACGAGGATGGGAAGAGCGAGAAGAGGAAGAACAAGGACCCGGTCCAGGCCAGGATGGAGGAGCACTTCTACCGCTATGGCATCAAGCCCGAGTGGATGCTGGTGCATCGCATCCTCAACCACAGGTGGGCTGCGGGCAGGGCTCTGTCGGGGGCAGGGGGACCGGCTGTTGGGGTGTGGGTGGGGGGCAGGCCCTGTCCTGGGGTGGATGACGATGGTGTGGGTGGGCAGTGTGATGGCCGCAACTCAGCGTGCCCACTTTTGGCTCTGCTGCTTGAGCCCTGGTTCCTCCCTGGAGGCAGCTCTGCCAGCAGCCCCGCTCAGCACTGAACCCCTCTGGGCTTATCTGGGAGATCTCTGCCTGTGTGTGCCCGTGCCCACTCAGACGAGTCCAGGGGTCTCCAGGTCAGGAGCCTGTGGGGGAGAACTTTCCAGCCCCGCACTTGGCCCCTCAGTCCAGCGCTCTGGACGGGAGGGCCAGCGGGGTCCTGGGCACTGCTGACGAGCTCCCGCGCCTGTTTGCGGGCGACAGCTTTGACAAGAAGGGGGACGTGCACTACCTGATCAAGTGGAAGGACCTGCCCTACGACCAGTGCACCTGGGAGATCGACGACATCGACATCCCGGACTACGACAGCCTGAAGCAGGCCTACTGGGGCCACAGGTGCCGGCCGGGGCCTCCCCCTAAGCCCGCCCCTCCCTCAACCGGCCCTTCCCCCCAGCCGGCCCCTCCCCCTGAACCTGGCCCGCCCCCAGTCGGCTCCTCCCCCAGCAGGCCCCTCCCCTCAGCAGGCCCCTCCCCCAGCAGGCCCCTCCCCTCAGCAGGCCCCTCCCCAACAGGACCCTCTCCCAGCCGGGCCCTCTCCCAGCAGGTCCGTCCCCCAGCAGGCCCCTCCCCTCAGCAGGACCCTCCCCCAACCAGTCCCACCCCCTGAGCCCGCCCCTCCCCCAGCCTGCCCCTCCCCCTAATCCGGCCCCTCTCCCTTTAAGCCTGCCCCCCCACCGGCCCCTCCCACCTCTGACCTGCTCCTCCCTCTTGAGCCCCCTCTCCCCTGAGCCCTCCCCCTCCCCGTCCCCAGCTGTGTGCGCCCCTTGGGGGGGATCACCAGTCCCTGCCCCCCTCCCCAGGGAGCTGATGCTGGGTGAGGACAACAGGCTGCCCAAGAAACTGGCCAAGAAGAGCAAGAAGCTCAAGGACGAGAAGCAGGAGAAGCCGACGGACACCCCCATTGTGGATGTGAGTGGGGGAGGGGGCTCCCGAGGGGGGGTCTCCCCTGGCCCCGGCGGCCCTATGAGAGGAGTGGTCTGTTGCAGGAGCTGGTATGCAGACCACAGGCGCTCTGACCTGTACGGATGGCGGCGTGGAAGGTGGCCTTGGTTCATTTGGCCTCTCTGCGGTGCCTGCTGGCCCCTGGCCCTAGGATGGCCCTGGAGGATCAAGGGTTAATAGCCCTGGTCCCATTTCAGCAAGTCCCCATTTCCCAGGGCCCGGGGGGGGGGGGACCCACAGAATATGGGAGTTCCCTCTGCGGTGGTGGGAGGCAGGGAAGGCGGGCGGGAGGGGATGACCGGGGGTGGCAAGGGCTGGTCTGGGTCTAGTGGAGGAAGCCCCCAGGCATGCAGCCACCAGTACCAGCTAAGTGCCCCCCACGTTCTCGGCATTGGGGACCAGCAGTGACGAATAGCACCCAGGGCCTGATCACCACCTGGGTTCAAGCACTGGGGACGCTTGTCCGACAGCCAGATCAGCCATCTGTCGGAGGACACGGTTGTTGGGGGGTGACTGGAGGTCAGGGTGGGCTTCCCGCAGGAAGAGGCATTCCCAGGGAGGCTGGCAGGGTGACTGAAATTGTGGGAAGCGTCTCCTGGGCAGAGAGAATCGCCTGTGCCCAGGCCCCACGTTCAGGGCCTGTCTGCCCCTCTGCGCCCACAGCCCACGGTCAAGTTCGACAAGCAGCCGTGGTACATCGACGCCACGGGCGGCACCCTGCACCCCTACCAGCTGGAGGGCCTCAACTGGCTGCGCTTCTCTTGGGCCCAGGGCACCGACACCATCCTGGCCGACGAGATGGGTCTGGGCAAGACAGTGCAGACCATCGTCTTCCTCTACTCCCTGTACAAGGAGGTGCGGGGCGGCGGCTGGGAGTGGAGGGGCCGGGCCAGCCTGCACGCAGCCGCCTCACGTTCGTCTCTGGCCCCCGCTCCGTCCCCAGGGCCACTCCAAGGGGCCTTACCTGGTCAGCGCGCCCCTGTCCACCATCATCAACTGGGAGCGTGAGTTTGAGATGTGGGCGCCCGACTTCTACGTGGTCACCTACACGGGGGACAAGGAGAGCCGCTCGGTGATCCGCGAGAACGAGTTCTCCTTCGAGGACAACGCCATCCGCAGCGGGAAGAAGGTGTTCCGCATGAAGGTGGGTGCGGCGGTGGCGTGTGGTCACAGGCAGTGACGGGCAGTGCTTCCCAGCTCGCCCTGGGTGCGGGGGGCGCCCCGGAGAGAACCAGAGCCTCTTGCTTGCACGCGGTTGCTCTGGGCCCGGAACCACCTCCAGGCCCCTGAGGGAGCAGCTCAGACCATGAAACTCAGACCACCAAACTCTCACCCAGTGCTGGTTTGTGGGGCCGGAGCAGCAGCCCAGCAGGGAAGGTTCTTGCTTTACACCCTTGCGGCTGATCCGGCTTTGGTCGCCGGCATCCCGTATGCGCCCCCAATCCCCACCCTGGAGTGATTCCTGAGCACGGAATTAGGAGTAAGCCCTGAGCATTGCCAGGTGGGCTTCCTCAGTGGAGTCAGGAGTAAACCTGAGCACCGCTGGGTATGACCAACCCGTCCCCCAAAACCCTTTCCAAACCCCAAAAGAATTCTGGCTCAGCCGTTGTAGGCCATGTGGGTTGGGGTGAGGTGGGGGTGATGCGGCCGCAGCCCCCCGGAACTGCGAGTGGGTCAGTGACAGTATCGCGCACTCAGACAGGGTTGCGGGAAACGGTCCCTCATGTTCTGAGCAGGGCCGCCGTGCCTTGGCTGACCCCCTCGGACCTGTGACCGCTTTCGGCCTCCCTGGGGTCTTCGGGGTCCCCGCAAACGGCCTGTCTGAGGCTGAGCAGTTGTCGCCCCTGCAGAAAGAGGTGCAGATCAAGTTCCACGTCCTGCTCACCTCCTACGAGCTCATCACCATCGACCAAGCCGTCCTCGGCTCCATTGAGTGGGCCTGCCTGGTGGTGGACGAGGCCCACCGGCTCAAGAACAACCAGTCTAAGGTGGGCACCCCGGAACCGGCTTCCTGTGTCTCTGATGGCCCCCTTGGCCGCCCGGAGCCATTGCCTGTGCCCCTGACTGGCCTCCTCTCCTCTGACGCCCACCCCCTCACCCCCCAGTTCTTCAGGGTCTTGAACAGCTACAAGATCGACTACAAGCTGCTGCTGACGGGGACGCCACTGCAGAATAACCTGGAGGAACTGTTCCATCTGCTGAACTTCCTCACGCCCGAGCGCTTCAAGTGAGCTGGGGCGGGCCTCGGTTTCCCCAGGAGGGGAGGGAGACGCGGTGTTGCTGTGTGACCTTCCCAGCCCCGACACTCGTTTCTAACCTCCATGAGGCCCCAGTACCCGCGTGGGCAGTGGGCCGGGAAGCTGGGACAGGATGGGGTGACGAGGGCGCACCCCCTGCGCGTGGGAGTCCCAGCATCTCCCTGCCCCCCTTTCCCTGCTCTGAACGGGAGTTCAGGTGAAGGGGGCTGACTGGGCTGTATCCCCTGGGGCCCCAACAGCCAGCCCTAGTTTCCCCAGATGGTTCATGTGTTTGAGAGATCAGCAGGATACAGGGTGGGGGTGGGGGTCACAGGCTTAGCCTGCCAGCCCCGTGGCCTGCGGTGATGCTCTGGCTGGTGGCAGGGGCCAGGCCAGGCGCCTCCCCACTCTTCTCTGCCATGCCAGGTTCTGGCTGGGTCCACACCCCCCTGCGCCTGGCCCCCAGCCCAGCTCTCCTCCCTTGCAGCAACCTGGAGGGCTTCCTGGAAGAGTTTGCCGACATCTCCAAGGAAGATCAGATCAAGAAACTGCATGACCTGCTGGGGCCACACATGCTGCGGCGGCTCAAGGCAGACGTGTTCAAGAACATGCCGGCCAAGACGGAGCTCATCGTCCGCGTGGAGCTGAGCCAGATGCAGAAGTAAGAGGGGCCCCTAGCACTCACCACCTGCCTCTGTGGGGCCACGGGCCTGCAGCTCCTCCTCTGCCCCCCGGCCCCCATCTCTAAGTGGGTGCCCCTCTCTGCCCTCCAGGAAGTACTACAAGTTCATCCTGACGCGGAACTTCGAGGCGCTCAACTCCAAGGGGGGCGGGAATCAGGTGTCACTGCTCAACATCATGATGGACCTGAAGAAGTGCTGCAACCACCCCTACCTCTTCCCCGTGGCCGCCGTGGTAGGTCCCGTAGCTGCTGTGGCAGGATCTCTTCTCTGTGGCCGCCGTGGGAGCGTGGTCACTGACAGACTCCTGCGGCTGCTGCTGTGGGGCTGTGGTGCTGCTCCGGTTGGGGCCCTTGTGGTTGGGAAGGTTCTATGGCACCTGCAGTAGGTTCTCTGTGGTAGGTTCCCCGTGGCCTCTGGTAGGCTCCCTGTGGTCACTGTGGTATGTTCCTTGTGGTCACTGTGGTAGGTTCCCCATTGCCTTTGTGGTAGGTTCCCTGTGGTTACTGACTGGTAGGTTTCCTGTGGCCTCTTGGTAGGTTCCCAGTGGTCACTATGGTAGGTTCCCCGTGGCCTCTGTGGTAGGTTCCCCGTGGTCACTATGGTAGGTTCCCCATGGTCACTAAGGTTCTCTGTGGCCTCTGTGGTAGGTTCCCTGTGGTCACTATGGTAGGTTCCCCATGGTCACTAAGGTTCTCTGTGGCCTCTTGGTAGGTTCCCTGTGGTCACTATGGTAGGTTCCCCGTGGCCTCTGTGGTAGGTTCCCTGTGGTCACTGGTAGGTTTCCCGTGGCCTCTTGGTAGGTTGCCTGTGGTCACTATGGTAGGTTCCCCGTGGCCACTGTGGTAAGTTTCCTGTGGCCTCTGTGGTAGGTTCCCCATGGTCACTAAGGTTCTCTGTGGCCTCTTGGTAGGTTCCCTGTGGTCACTATGGTAGGTTCCCCGTGGCCACTGTGGTAGGTTCCCCATGGCCTCTCTAGTAGGTTACCTGTGGTCACTGTGGTAGGTTCCCCATGGTCATTGCGGTTGGGTCCCCAGTGGCTGCTGTGGGAGGTTCCCTTTGGCGGTTGTGGCAAGTTTCCCATGGTCACCGTGCTGACTGCTTGTGGATGTCCTCGTGTCCCTGGCTGCTGTGGCTGCCGTCTGCAGGCCCCAAGTGTCTGAGTGCCACCCCTGCCCGGCGGCCTCTTCCTTTCTTGATCCTCAGTGACCCCACAGTTCTCTCTGGCCAGTGTCGCAGGGCTCATGGCTGCAGGAATCTGTGGTGCAGCCCGTGAGCGGGGCCTGGCCAGCGCTGAGTCCCTCTGGGAAGATGCTGGTCTGCTCTGAGCTGCATTCCTCTATGAGGGCCATTGTGGCACCACCTGGGTAGGGTGGACCTGGGAAGGTCCCCGTGTGAGACCACCGTGCTTCCAGAACCCCGCAAAAGCTCTGGGGCAGAGTGGAGTGGGCCTCTCACCTTCCGGTGACAAGCAGGGGATCAGCCGGCCTGTGTGTGCCTTCTGGTGGCCGGGTGTAGGCCACGTCCCCGGGAAACCTGGGATTCCCCTCCCTGCACCCATCTAGGGGTCTTGGCGCATGGGGCTGAGTTTGGCCTTGCCGCGTCCTCTGCTGGGTCCAGCAGCTCCGAGGCCCCACCTGCCTGTTGTGTTCGCAGGAGGCCCCAGTCCTCCCCAACGGCTCGTACGACGGTGGCTCCCTCGTCAGGTCGTCAGGGAAGTTGATGCTGCTGCAGAAGATGCTGAAGAGGCTGAGGGACGAGGGCCACCGCGTGCTCATCTTCTCCCAGGTGGGCGGCCCTTCTTGGGACCCCCCGCCCTGGGGATATGGCCGTGGGGCTGGGGGCGGGGAGCCAGAGGTGCTCAGGGTGCTGCTGCTCTGGGCACAGAAGCTGCTTCCTCTGCCCGTGCGGCTTTGCCCTGTTGTGTGTGTTGGCGCTGGGGAGGCCCCTGCACCCCCGTCCCCGTAAGACTTGATTCCCTGTGAGGCCTTCCCAAGGTGCGGGAGTGAAGGGACACAGACCTCTCCACTGGAATGCTCCTGCACCCACATTCTGAGAGGGTCCCCCAAACAGCAGGCAAAGTTCACACGAAAGGGAGTAGAATAGCCTAGAGAATAATAGTTGATAAATAACTACTATTATTGTAGTTGATAAATAGATAAATAAATAACTAGGGCTAGAGCGATAGCACAGCGGTAGGGCGTTTGCCTTGCACGCAGCCAACATGGCCGACCCGAGTTCGATTCCTCCGCCCCTCTCGGAGAGCCCGGCAAGCTCCCGAGAGTATCTCGCCCGCACGGCAGAGCCTGGCAAGCTCCCCGTGACGTATTCGATATGCCAGACACAGTAACAACAAAGTCTCCAATGGAGATGTTACTGGGCCCGCTCGAGCAAATCGATGATCAACGGGAGGGCCTTTACTTTACTTTTACTTAAATAACTACCAGGATCCTAAAAAGTAGCATAGCATGCAGGGGAGAGAGTTCAGGTGGCAGAACATGTGCCTTGCCTGTTTGATACCCCTGAGTTTGGTCCTGGCCTTGCATGCACCCCAACTTCCAGCACCCTGGAGATCCCTAGCACTCCCAGGCCAGAGCATGGAGCCACCAGGTCAAATCTTTCAGGGAGTGACCTCAGTTCCCACCACCCCCCCCACACACACACTGCTTGGGTGTGACCCCAGTAGAAAAAAAAACTCAAAAATTAAGAATTGATTTAGGGGCTGGAATGATAGCACAGCGGGTAGGACATTTGCCTTGCACACGGCCAACCTGGGTTCAATTCCCAGCATCCCATATGGTCCCCTGAGCACTGCCAGGAGTAATTCTTGAGTGCATGAGCCAGGGGTAACCCCTGGGCATCACCGGGTGTGATCCAAAAAGGAAAAAAAAAAAGAATCGATTTAAGGGGCTGGAGTGATAGTACAGCGGGAAGGGTGTTTGCCTTGCACTTGGCCAACCCGGGTTCGATTTCCAGCATATCCCGTATGGTCCTCGAGCACCGCTAGGAGTAATTTTTGGGTGCAGAGCCAGGAGTAACTTCTGAGCATCGCTGAGTGTGACCAAAAAATCAAACAAACAAAAACCAAACACTGTCCTCCTGTTGTTCATCGATTTGCTCAAGCGGGCCCAGTAACGTCTTCGTTTTGAGACTTGTTGTTACTGTGCTTGGCATATCGAATACGTCATGGGTAGCTTGGCAGGCTTTGTCGGGTTCTCTGAGAGGGGCAGAGGAATCGAACCCGGCTCGGCCTGGCTGGCTGTGTGCAAGGCAAACACCCTATCACTGTGCTATTGCTCTAGCACCCTGGAGAGCGCCCACAGTTAGTATCGGAAAAGAAAAAAATTGATTTAATGAAACGCCAGCCAGAAGCGCAGCCCTCAAAAGAGCAAGGCTTCCACAGACTTCTGGCAAGGCTGGGCAGGAGATGCCTCGGAGCTGACCTCCAGGCACTCAGGGGTGAAATTAGGGAAGACTGCAAGAAGAGGTGCTGTGTGTGTCCCCCTTAGCAGAAGGGAGGCCTGGTGAGCGCCGTGTGAAGGGGCTGGGGGGCCACGGCTTGCTTGGGGGTGAGGTTGGAGTCTGAACCTTCACCCAGAGACCCTCAGGCAGACCTCATCTGGGGGTTCCCCATGCCCCCTCTCAGAGGGGGCTGTCTTCCCAGCCACCCTAGATGCTCGGCCCAGGGTCCCATGGCGGCCCCTGCCCAGTGGTGACCACACACATGTGTGTCCCCCACAGATGACCAAGATGCTGGACCTCCTGGAGGACTTCCTGGAGTACGAGGGCTACAAGTACGAGCGGATCGATGGTGGCATCACAGGGGGACTCCGGCAGGAGGCCATCGACAGATTCAACGGTACTCGCCTTGCCCTGTGCTCGGAGGTCACCACGTCCGCCTCCCCCAGCTGGCCCCTGGGCACCCAAAGTGGCTGAGGCGGTAGAGCTGGCCCTAGGCCGTAGCTTCGCCTCATTTCAGAGGCTGAGAGGGCTCATGGCATGGAACCCCCCAGCCAGTGAGGCGCTGGGAGCCCCATGGATGACAGACGGGGCGGGAAGCGGGGAGGTGACAGTCTCTGTGACTGAAAGGACTGGACGCTGGGAGAGAATCTGGCCATGTAGATGGGGCATGCTGCCCTGGGTAGATGCGGTTGTTACCCTGTGTAGACGGAGATGCTGCCAGTGCTAAGTTTCACCCAGTGTAGATGGAGCCTGCCACCCAGTGTAGACGAGCCTAGCCCTCGCTCTCTGGGGCGCTTCCTCAGAGAAGGCGAGAGGAAGGGGATGCGGTGGGGACCCATTGTCAGGGCTCATGTGTGCGGCGTGTCTGGGTCCCTGTTTCTGGGCCCCTTCCCTCTGGTGTCCCCGCCACCCGCTCACCCCTCCGCACACCTCAAGGGCGTCTTCTCTTCCCCAGCCCCCGGAGCCCAGCAGTTTTGCTTCCTCCTGTCCACGCGGGCCGGTGGCCTGGGCATCAACCTGGCCACGGCAGACACAGTCATCATCTATGACTCAGACTGGAACCCCCACAACGACATCCAGGTCTGCGTCCCCCTCCGGAGCCAGCCGCCTTGGTGGTTTCCTGGGCTGCTCCTCATCTCCCGCCCCCAGAGTGTCCTGGGGCTCAACTTTACACAGGCCCAGAGGGGGCTGGGGACAGGTCCAAGGCCACACAGCACCCAGGCCCTTCAGCCGGCCACTGTCCTGTCAGCTCTGACCAAAGCCATGGAGGGGAGCAGCACAGGGTCAGGGATGCTATTAAGAGGGGATGAGAACAGACTGGGGGGCACAAGACCGTTGGGGGCTGGAGAGAAGCAGAGAGAGGAAGGACGGGAGGGCTGGTGTCTGTGACAGGGGCTGACCCCTGGCCATCCTGTCCAGTAGACAAACCCGGTCCCCTGCAACCCCCGGCCCAGGTCCGCAGTCCCTCCAAGGTCAGCACAGGGCGCCCTCTGCTTCGGGGACACCTCCACACCCCTCCTGCATGCAGGATACGCCCCACAGAGTGTGCCCTGGAGCACGTGGGCGGCCCCCCTAATCCTCGCCCCCATGTGTCGTGGGTGCTGAGTTGCCACCCACCCCACCCGCAGGCCTTCAGCCGTGCCCACCGCATCGGGCAGAACAAGAAGGTGATGATCTACCGTTTCGTGACGCGGGCCTCGGTGGAGGAGCGCATCACGCAGGTGGCCAAGCGCAAGATGATGCTTACGCACCTGGTGGTGCGGCCCGGCCTCGGCTCCAAGTCGGGCTCCATGACCAAGCAGGAGCTGGACGACATCCTCAAGTTCGGCACGGAGGAGCTCTTCAAGGACGATGTGGAGGGTGTGTGTCCGGGGCACCGGGGCCTGGGGGCTTCCTTCCTCTCAGGCGCAGCCACCAATCCGCGGCCCCTCTGTGCCCACAGGCATGGTGTCTCAGGGCCAGAGGCCTGTCACGCCCATCCCTGATCTCCAGTCCTCCAAAGGGGGAGCCCTGGCCGCCAGCGCCAAGAAAAAGCATGGCAGCACCCCGCCAGGTACGAGCCAGCCTGCCCAGTCTAGCTCAGGTCAGCCCAGCCCTGCCCTGCCCTGCCCAGCCCTGTCCTGACCAGCCACGTCTAGCCCTGCCCAGCACAGCTCAGGTCAGCCCAGCCCTGCCCAGTCCTGTCCGGCACTACCCTGCCCTGCCCAGCCCTGCCCTGCCCAGTGCAGGTCCTCCTGTGTCCTGAGGCCAAGGTGTTTCCGTCACAATTTTAGTGCTCCAATGTAGGCGATTGGCATTACGGTTACACCTGCTGCCCCAACAGCCCCTGACTTCTGGGCCTGAGACTGCCTGGGGACCTGGGAGTGGGGGTCCAGCTGCTCACGTGCACAGTGCTCCTTGGCTGCAGGACTTGAAGGGCTCTGCTTGGGAGATGACCACGACGAACGAGGCTCTGCTGGAGACCTGGGCCCCTCCCGTCCCCTTACTCTGTGCCCTGTCTGCACCAGGTGACAACAAGGATGTGGAGGACAGCAGTGTGATCCACTATGACGACGCGGCCATCTCCAAGCTGCTGGACCGGAATCAGGACGCCACCGATGACACGGAGCTGCAGAACATGAACGAGTACTTGAGCTCCTTCAAGGTGGCGCAGTACGTGGTGCGGGAAGAGGATGGAGTGGTAAGCCCCGCCCCTGCTGCGAGCCTGGACCAGTCCCCTGCCCTCCGCATAGGCCCTGCCCCGTCCCGCCCCCGCCCTCCGCTTAGGCTCCGCCCCACCCTGCCCCGCCCCGCCGCCACCAGCCTTTACAGAGGCCCCGCCCACCGCATTCACCCTGCCTGCCCAGGCCCCGCCCTCTGCATAGGACCCGCCTACCACATAAGCCCTTCGCTGCCCCGCCCCCGCCCTCTGCTTAACCACTGGCCCCGCCCCACCCAGGCTTCGCCCTCCGCATAGGCCCCGCCCCCTCCCATTCCTCACCCTTCGCATAGGCACTGCCCTCCGCATAGGCCCCGCCCTGCCCTGCCCCCGCCCTCCGCATAGGCCCTGCCCCGCCCCCAGCCTTTAGAGGCCCCGCCTGCCGCATTGACCCTGCCCGCCCAGGCCCCGCCCTCTGCCTAACCACTGGCCCCGCCCCATCCTGCCCCCTCCCTCCACATAGGTCCTGCTTAGCCACTAGCCCCGCCCACAGCGTAGGCCCCCGCCCCTGCCTCTGTCCCCCCCCAATCACCGTCCTCGGCATAGGCCCCGCCCCTTTAGTGCATAACACCCCCCCTCACGCCCCGCCCACTTCAAGCTGCCCTCTGCTCCTTTTCTCCACCGCAGACTGATTCCCCTTTTCCCAAAGACCAGCTCCTGGCTGCCCCTTCCACTTCGTCCCTCTCTCCCAGCAGTCATGCTGCACGCAGACGTTGGTGTTACTGACCCTCCACTCCTGGGTGTCCGCGCCGCGGTGGGCTGGCTCTCCACTGTGGCCGGTCAGGACTGGGGGTGCAGAGCGGGCGAGGGCCTGGGCGAGCGAGGGACTGAAGAATGAGTGATGCCCCACGGCAGGCAAGGGACGGGGCGCAGAGGCCACTGCTCAGGGACGCGCCCTCACTCGTCCCGCTGCCCGTGGCCGCAGGAGGAGGTGGAGCGCGAGATCATCAAGCAGGAGGAGAACGTGGACCCCGACTACTGGGAGAAGCTGCTGCGGCACCACTACGAGCAGCAGCAGGAGGACCTGGCGCGCAACCTGGGCAAGGGCAAGCGCATCCGCAAGCAGGTCAACTACAACGACGCGACGCAGGAGGACCAGGGTGCGCGCGCCCGGCGGCGGCGGCGGCTGCGGCTGCAACCTGGGGCAGGCAGGACCCTGGCGGGCCAGAGAGGGCGGCGGGCGGCGGGAGGGAGGCGGGCGCGGGGCTCCGGGGCTGGGGGGTGCGGGGCTCCAGGGCGGTGGGTGGGGCGTGGACTCCAGGGCAGCAGACTCGAGGCTCCAGGGCGGTGGGGCTTGGGACTCCTCTGGGCGGCAGGGCGCAGGGCCCCAGGGTGGCAGGGCGCGGGGCTCTGGGGCGGTGGGCACGGGGTTCCAGGGCTTCAGGGCGCCGGGCTTCTGGGCAGTGGGCGCGGGTCCCCACCTGCCGCGCTGCTCACGGCTGGCCCCTCTGCCGCCCCCAGAGTGGCAGGACGAGCTCTCGGACAACCAGTCTGAGTACTCCATTGGCTCCGAGGACGAGGATGAGGACTTTGAGGAGAGGCCGGAAGGGCAGAGTGAGTGGACACGGGGCTAGCCTGCGGTACCCCAGGGGCGGGCTCATCAATAAGGTTATCCGGGGCGTGGTGGCGGCTGCTCGGACCCAACGGAGTGAGGCCAGTGTCTGGGCTTTCCGCAGGTGGACGGCGCCAGTCCCGACGGCAGCTGAAGAGTGACCGGGACAAGCCACTGCCGCCTCTCCTTGCTCGTGTCGGCGGCAACATCGAGGTGTGGCCCCTCCCCAGACTCTCCTGTCGCCTCTGGCCTGTGTCACTGGCCCATGCTGCCTGCTGACCGCCCTGTCCCCCCGCACAGGTGTTGGGCTTCAATGCCCGGCAGCGCAAAGCCTTCCTGAACGCCATCATGCGCTGGGGTATGCCCCCCCAGGACGCCTTCAACTCCCACTGGCTGGTTAGGGACCTGCGAGGCAAGAGCGAGAAGGAGTTCAGGTAAAGGGGCCGCCCCCGCGGGAGCCCCCCCAGACCCAGCGGGGAGGTTAGTGTGTGTGTGTGTGTGTGTGTGTGTGGCCGCACCCTGAGCTGTGCCGTGTCCCCTCCCCCCCCCGCCCCAGGGCCTACGTGTCCCTGTTCATGCGGCACCTGTGCGAGCCAGGTGCCGACGGTGCCGAGTCCTTCGCCGACGGTGTGCCCCGCGAGGGCCTGTCCCGGCAGCACGTGCTCACGCGGATCGGCGTCATGTCCCTCGTCAGGAAGAAGGTGGGTGAGTGAGGCCCTCGCGGGCAGAGCTCCGGGGCCCAGCCAGGAGCCGAGGGTGTCTCTGCGCAGGGGTTCGGGCCGGGGCGGGGGGACAGCAAGGAGCTGCGGTCTTGGTGGACCCCGCTATGGACATCTGTTCCCCCCCTGCGCCCTCCTTCCTCAGGTCCAGGAGTTTGAGCACGTGAACGGGAAGTACAGCACCCCGGATCTGATCCCCGAAGGGCCCCAGGGCAAGAAGCCAAGCGAGGCCGTCTCCTCCGACCCCAACACCCCCGTGCCCGCCAGCCCTGCCTACCTCGCGCCCGGCCCGCTGGGTCTGCCAGGTCTGATGTCGGTGATGGGGAGGGCGGCCCAGGCCCAGTGTCCTCTCGGAGGCAGTTTCAGGAAGCTCCACACTCCTGGCTCCCACCCTCCCCCTAACCCTTGCTCAGGCTTCCGGCACGTGTCTTAGGGAGGGGTCCACATCACCCCTAACTCCAGGGCATTTCACCGCACCCCTCAGAGTCCCATGTGCGCTGGCCAATCCCCGGCCCCTGCCGAGCTGTGTCTGTCTGGGTTCACCTTCTGGGACCTTCAGGCCTGTGCCACCGTGCCAGGGGCTGGGGGCTGGTTCTGACTGTCCACTGCAGGGTCATTTAACTTTTGGGGAGACGCTGGGCTGCTCCCGGGTGTGCTGCAGAGACGCTGGAGGAATGGCACCAGATTCGGGGCCCCGTGCTCCCTGGCAGCCCTCCAGCCCCTGACGGCACATCCCCACCTGGCACCAGCTCTCAGGGTCTCACCTCAGCCCCCGGGCTGGGCCTGTTTGTGTGTTTCAGTGTGTGGGTGTGTGTATGTATGGATGTATGTGCAATGGGTGTGCCTGTCTCAAGGTGTGGGTGTGTTTAGTCTGTGCATGCGCATGTATGTAGGTGTGTGTCTGTGTGCCTATGTTTATGCACACATTGGTCTGTATATGTACACGTGTGTGTATATGTGCATGTGTGCGTGTGCATGCTGTGCCTCTCTGGAGCTGGAGTGTGGCCCCTCCCACAGCTCATAGGGGCCTCCTCCAGCGCCCCTGGTGCCAACCCCACCACCTGCTTTCCCCAGTATTTTTGGGGTTCTGTGTCGGCTCTTACGGGCCGCCAGACTCGGGAGGGTCTCCTGGTCTCAGCAGAGTGTGCTTGTACATGTGTCTGTGTGTCTCCAGCCCCTTCTCGGGACCCCCACGTGCCATGGTCAGCCTCCCCCCCCTCCGAGACAGGAGGTCCTGAGGCCCAGTGCCTGGAGGACATTGCCCAGCCCAGAGTCTCCCCTGGGGTGCCCTGGCTCTGTGGGACCCTGGGGTCATGCCCAGGTCTTTTGAGGGACCACACAGGGCCCCTCATCCCCTTGCTTCTGGGGGGCCCTCGCTTGGCTCCTGGGCTCTTCGCTGGGGGAGTCCAATCTTTCCCCTGCGGTGCCGGCTCTGCACTCAGCCCTTCTTTCTCCTCCTCCCTCCTGAGCTCCCCTGTCTCACCGTGCCTCTCCCTCGGTCTTTCAGACAAAATGGAGGCCCCGCTGGGCTACCTGGACGAGAGGGAGCTGGGGGTGCAGAGGCCGAGGAAGCCTCCGGAAGCCCAGGTCTGTGGGATGCGGGTGCGGGCGCGGCCGGGCAGCCCAGCTTCCTGGCTCAGGCTTTGGGAGGAAGCCGGGAGGGGCCCGTGCGCTGCCCCCACAGCTGCGATGTCTCTCCCCCAGGCCCTGCCGACCTCACTGGACAGGGCGGAGACTGAAGACAAGCACGAGCGCCCCGAGGGGAAGGACCCGGCTCGAGAGGGGCACCCAGAAGAGCTGGAGAAGGCCCCGCCCTCCCCAGAGCCGCTGCCCAAAGGTGCCGCTTCCCCGTCGAGAGCGGGCAGCCCCTTCCCTTTCTGGTTGGGCACCGTGGGCACTGCAGTGGCCAGCGCCCGTGTGGGATGTGGCAGGGCATCTCTGTGTGTGCATGGCGTGTTTCTCAGCGTGGGCCTGGTTTCCGGCCTCTCCCTCCCCAGCCATGGAGAGTTTGAATGAGTCCACACTCTCATCACTTTCTTTGGTTTCGGGCTCACCTGACAGTGCTCAGGGCTTCCTCCTGGCTCTACTCTCAAGGGTCACTTCTGGCAGGCTCAGGGGACCGTAGGGGGTGTCGGGGATGGAACCAGGTGGGCCGTGGGCAGGGCTCGCGCATTCCGTGTTGTGCTGGGTTCCAGCCCAGAGGTGTCCTGACTTGTCGGAAGTGTTTTCTATGCCCTGGGCCCGCTTTGTGTCCCTGCTGGAGAGATGCCTTTGCAGATCTCGGTGTTGTGTCGCTCTGGAGGGGTCAGATTTCTTGCTGTCTGCTGGCGGGGGCTGCTCCCGCAGCAAGTTGATCAACTGGGCAGGGCAGCACACAGGGGCCTTTAGGACATGTCCGGGTGTCACCGGTTTACCCATGATGTTACTCTGTGCCAGGTAGTTCTGGGGCCGAAATGCCAGGTCTTGAGCACCCCGTAACCCTGCCCTGTCTCCTGGGGGCCTGTATACAAGTTCTTCTTTTTTTTTTTTTCTGTTTGGGGTCACACCTGTCAATGCACAGGGGTTACTCCTGGCTCTGCACTCAGGAATCACTCCCGGCGGTACTCGGGGAACCATATGGGATGCTGGGAATCGAACCTGGTTCGGCTGTGTGCAAGGCAAACGCGCTACCCGCTGTGCTATTGCTCCAACCCCTGTATTCGAGTTCTTTATACTTGCGTGTTCCTTGGCTGTGAGCTTTCCCTGCCCGCCCTGCCACCTTTATTTTGGCCACACCCGGCAGTGGCTTCGAGATCAGGAATTGCTCCTGGTGGCCCTGGGGTACCATATGGAATACCATTGGTCAAACCTGAACTGGCAGTGTGCCAAGCAAGGCAAGCGCCCTGTCCACTGTACTATCTCTTGGGCCCTTCCTTAACTTGGGAGGCCACACCCCGCGGTGCTCAGGGCCTATTCCTGGCTCTGTGCTTCAGGGTTCATCCCGGTGATGCTCGGGGGACCATAATGGGCTTCTTGGGCCCACACAGGGCCAGGGTGGAGCTGGGAAACTGCTTTGCCATGGGCCGCACCCATGCCTGGCCTCTGCGCCCCAGACAGGCGGGCTCTGTGCTGTGCCCCACGGAGCGGCTGAGCGCAGCTCTGACTCCGCTTCTCAGCTCCTCAGCGCCTGCAACCTCCGTCACCCTCTGACAAGGCCCTGAGCCTCCCGTCCTCTCTGGAGTCTGCTGACCCCCACCCAGGGCCCTGGGGGACTCCCTGTGCCCTTCCCATCCCTCCCCTTCAGCACCTAAGCCCCCTTTCTGCATCTGAGCACCTGCAGGCTAGAGGTCCCTCCCGTCTCTGGGGTTCCCAGGGGCCGAGATCCCTTCGCCCCCCCACCCCCCCACCCAGGATCGCTGCTGACCATTCTGGGGGCGTGGGAGCAGAGAGATGTGGGAGGGCTGCCCCCTGCCCACCTCTCCTGGAGTCTGCTGCTCCCTCCCCAGTCCCCCCAGGGAGCACTCCGTGGTGGTGACTGGTGATGGAATGACTGCTGGGGGTCGCGTGCAGCTGAAACTGAGGCCCCCCGTGCCACCTCGGGACCTTCGTGTCTTGCAGAGGAGGCGCTTCCTGAGAAGGAGAGAATCCTGGACAAGCTGGAGCTCAGCCTCCTGCACAGCAGGGGTGACGGCGGCGACTTCAGGCCAGGTCTGGTTTCCGGTGCCCTGGGTCTCGGTGTCCTGGAGGGCCCTGGGGGGCGGGGACTCCTGCAGCCTCCTGGCCCTGGTGGGGGCTGATGCAGTAGGTACCAGCCCACCAGCCCCTGCCTGGAGCCTGCCCCCCCTTCTTGGGATGGCGCGGGGGCTGTGTGGTGGACCCGTCCCACTCCCTCCTGGGGATGAAGCCCCCAAACTGGGAGGCGGGTCCCCCACTGGCCCTGGATCCCCAGCACTGGCCTAGGATGTGCCCATCAGTGCCGTTGAGTGGTAAGTGGGGTCTTCCTTTCCGCAGAGGACTCCAGAGTGGGTGAGAAGGAGCCCCTGGAGGTCCAGCAGAACGGTGACAAGGAGGAGGAGGACGAGGGGAGGAAGGAGGAGCGGCTCGGGAAGTTCAAGTTCATGTTCAACATCGCAGACGGGGGCTTCACAGGTGCGGGGGCGGGAGGCCCGGGCGTCCTGCTGAGGGTCCTGGCACCTGCCCGCGTCACACACGTGAGGGTACAGGCTGAAGGTGGCTCCACCGGGTGTGGGGGCCAGTGGGCCCCCCTCGGTGGGAGGTCAGGGGCGCCTCTCAGCCTGCTCCCCGCTGGGTTCCCTAGAGCTGCACACGCTGTGGCAGAATGAGGAGCGTGCTGCCGTGTCCTCGGGGAAGATCTACGACATCTGGCACCGACGCCACGACTACTGGCTCCTGGCGGGCATCGTGACGTATCCTAGCTGTGTCCTGGGGCTGGGCAGCACTGGGGACCTTCCCTGGGCCCGGTAGCAGTGACAGTGATGGGGACACTCAGAGTGGGGATGGTGGGGATGAGGGTGATGTGATACGGTAACGGTGCTGGGGATGGTGATGATGGGGATGGTGGAGATGAGGGTGACGTGATACGGTGATGGTGCCGGGGATGGTGGGGAGGACATACCGGGGACGATGACGGTGGAGATGGTGGGATGAGGACTGGGGTGATGATGGTGGGACAGGGATGCTGGGCACAGTGGCGGTCATAGTGATGGTGACATGGTGAAGTGGTGCTAGTGATGGCAGTGGTGATGGAGATGGACCCTCTGGACATCTGTGAGGGTGCAGGGTCTGTGTCCTGTGGAACTGTGCTTAGTCTTGCCAGGCGTGTCCCCTAGATGCCCCAGAAAAACCACCAGTCCCTGGAGTGGGACCCCTGAACCCGTTTAAACCCTTCTTCATGTCACTGCAATGGCAAAGGCCCCAATTTCCAAATAAGAGCAGAGGCAGGGTGGGGGGGCGGGAAGTTTAGCCTGGCCCTATACCAGCACAGGCAGGAGTCGGGGTGGTTCAACCCAGAAAACCTCAGTGCCACGCCGTGGCCCCTGTGTGTGGCCGTCAGGTCAGTGCCAGCAGGGGCACAACCAGGACACCGTGTCCAGGCTGGTCCCTCGCCCCCTGCCCCCACCCTCTGGTCATGTTCGCCTTAACAGAGTCTAGGCACGGTTATGCGCGCTGGCAGGACATCCAGAACGACCCGCGCTACACGATCCTCAACGAGCCCTTCAAGTCCGAGGTCCACAAGGGCAACTATCTGGAGATGAAGAACAAGTTCCTGGCCCGCAGGTTCAAGGTCCGCAGTGGTGGGCAGGAGCGGGGGGTGCCAAGCTGACGCCAGGGGGCCTGTCCGCTGGGTCCCCGCCTGGGTGGCTGGCGGGGGGTCAGGCCAGGCTCAGCACCCCATCCCCTCTGCAGCTGCTGGAGCAGGCCTTGGTCATCGAGGAGCAGCTGCGCAGGGCCGCGTACCTCAACATGACCCAGGACCCCAACCACCCCGCCATGGCCCTCAACGCCCGCCTGGCCGAGGTGGAGTGTCTGGCCGAGAGCCACCAGCACCTGTCCAAGGAGTCACTCGCGGGGAACAAGCCGGCCAACGCCGTCCTGCACAAAGGTGCGAGTGGCAGGGAACCGCAGCCAGCTCTGAGTGTGCATTCATGGGAACTGTTTTTTTCCGGGAAGCTTCCAGGCTGGTGGTGGGGTACAGTGGGGGGAGTTAGGCCACCCCCAGCTTGCCGGGATCCCCCAGGCTGCAGACCCCGAGTGTCTGCTGCAGTGCAGGTGGGCCGAAGACACTGCCCAAGGGTCCCCCTCTGCTCCTGGGATGCCGGACCCCGGCGCTTTCCCCAGCCGCCCGCTCTCCCCGCAGTCCTGAACCAGCTGGAGGAGCTGCTCAGCGACATGAAGGCCGACGTGACGCGCCTGCCCTCTATGCTGTCGCGCATCCCCCCGGTGGCCGCCCGCCTGCAGATGTCGGAGCGCAGCATCCTTAGCCGCCTGACCAACCGGGCCGGCGACCCCACCATCCAGCAGGTCGGGGGACTTCCGGGCTCCCATGCGTCGCTGGGGGCGGCAGCTTGGGGGAGGGAGGAGGTGGCCAGATGTGACCGTTAAACCGGGTCCTTGCCTCCAGGGCGCTTTCGGCTCCTCCCAGATGTACAACAACTTTGGGCCCAACTTCCGGGGCCCCGGACCGGGAGGGATCGTCAACTACAGCCAGATGCCCCTGGGCCCCTATGTGACTGGTAGGTGGCCGCCTGCTCCCGGGCAGCGCACCCAGGAGCCCGCGGGGCCCCGGTGAGCCGAGCTTCTCTCTCCTGCAGATACCTAGCCGTCCCTGGACAGCCCTCTGCCGCGGTGCTCGTGGTCAGCCCAGGTGAGTCCTACAGATGACCCTCCAGCTCATCGGTCCCCTGCAGGGTCAGGGCCCCGAGCCCCAAGCCTCAGGGGCCTAGCATCGAGGGTCTGACCCAGCGCCCTGCAGTTCACTTTCTGGCTTCATTTGGGGCCAGTGTGTCTGCCCGGCCTTCTAGATTCTTCCTGGTGTGTATGTGTCCAGGAGGCAGCTCCCCAGCTTTGAACCCATACCTGCAGTTCTGACTCAAGCCCATCACCCACTCGCACCCTACGACGCCACCTCCAGTCTTGCCTGTGGTCCCCCAAGGGTGGCTGAGCATTCGAGGGGCTCACTGCATAATGGAGCTTGTCTTAAGGGGCCCACAGTCCCCCTCGGCCCTGGGCTGTCTCCTGCTGCACCCCTGTGTGTCATGAAGGAAATGCCACCTTGGGGCATGTGGGCCCAGATGGGGGGGCCCGGCCTCCCGCACAGCGAGCCTCTCCTCTTCCCTGTGGTGGCAGGGCTCTCATCCTGGGGGCTGGAAGGTTTCGGGGCCCCTGCCCCCACGGAAACCTGACCCCCATCTCCCCTCCCTCATCACCTGCCCCTCGCAGCGCCACCTGCCGGCCACCTGCCTTGATTCTGCGGGAGAGAAAAGTTGCTGCCTTGGGACGGGAAGGACAGTCCGTCGGGGGAAGGACGCGGTGCAGCCCAGCCAGGCCTGAGTGCTGATGTGCCACCAACGTCCTACCCGGGCAGCCGCCAGCCTGGCGACCTCAGCGGGTGCCCCCCTGGCCACCTTCTCCAGAGCAGCTCCAGACGGGGTCTGGGTTATCTGTCCGACCTTTGCACTCTATTGAACACTTGCACACGTTCCTCTCCGTGGCCCTTAGTCACGCCCCGAGGGCCCGGCCAGTAGCGCCTCCAGCCGTGGCCCCTTGGACTTTGCTCAGCTGGGGACCCCCGCCCACAGGTCCCTGCTCCTGTCAGCAGGGTCCGAGGGGCAGCCCCGTCCTGCCGACGCCCAGCTCGTGTCCTGACCCCGCAGGCCCTGGGCTCTGCCATGCCCATGGGGGACAGACCCAGTCCGGGCTCGGGGTGGGGTGGGGTGGGGTGTGGCACTTGAGGTGAGTGCTGAGGGACAGACCCAGTCCCCGTGGCACAGTGTGACCCGATGTCCAGTGCATTCTGGGTCCCAGACCACCCAGTACCCCACCCTGGAGCAGCTTGGACTTCGGCAGATCCCCCCCCTTGCCCCCTCCCCGGGAAGAGTGGCCAGAGGCTCCTGGCCTGCTGGGACTCTGCAGCCCAGCCCCTCCTGTGTCCCTGTGTTCTGCCTGAGGGGGCCCGGGCTGGTGTGTGTGGGGGTGCCCTGAGGTTTTGGACCCTGATCTCCTGGCACGGTCCACATCGAGTGTCCCCATGTCTCACGGGGACTCTGGGCAGTCGGTAGCCTTCATGGAGCCCCTGGAAACCTCGCCTGTAATTGCTCTCAGCGCCCCTGGTGGGCTGGACCCCCTCCAAAGGCACTTTCCATCTTCGTGTCCCCCAAACGAGCTCCAAGGCCTGTCAGCTCTGGCATGGCTCCTGGATGGAGCTGCCTTGATGCAGCTGCTGACCCCTCGTGGGGTCCAGTTAAGTGCCACTGGGAGTGTGAAGGCCACTGCGCCTGCACCCCAGGACCCACGGCGTGTTCCACTCAACACGGAGCAGAGGGTGTGGTGGGCGGGTCCGGTCCATGGCCACGCCCAGCGCTCGTGACCACGCCCCAGGCCTATGGCCACGCCCCTGACCGGGGGTTCTTCCTGGTTGGTCCATGGCTTCCCGGGTCCCGCCCCCTGCCGGGCTCGCCCCGCCCCTCTGCCCCGCCCCCCGCAGTGGGCCGGGAGGGCGAGGCCCGTGCAGGGGGTGGTGGGGGGCGGGGGTCTCTAGACGGTTCGGAAAGGGAAGGATCTTGGCGCGTTTTCTTCTTGGTTCTCCTTGGTTGTTATCCCCGCCGGGGCTGGGGGGGCGGTCGCCAGCGTGGGCGTTTTTTCTGGCTGGCTTTGTTTTCCGCGGCGGGTGGTGCGAGGGTCCTCGAGCAAGCGGACCCCCGGTAGCGGCCGCGTTTTCTTTCCAGCCACCTTATCATTTCAGCCAGTGTGGACAGGGGTGCCCGAGGCCCTGTGACCCCTGCCCCGTTGGTACTCCTGGAGCTGCAGGTTGCGGTGTGCCGGCCCACCCACAGTCATTGGCATTGTTGTGTTTGGGGATTTTTTCTTAGTTTTCAGGTTTTTTTTAAAACAAAGTATTTTTTTAGGTGCGATGACCCGGGAAGGGCGCTTTGGGGATATGTGTGTGTGCGTGTCCTGACCCCCCCCTGGCACGGGCGCCTCGAGCCCACGCCTGGAAAAGGGGGTCCCCCGGGTGCGCGCGGGGGGGCTGGCGCTGCAGGAGAGGCGGGCGGCTGGGCCCGCGGCCACTCGGCCCTGACTTTGTACTCTGCGTGTGCGTCTTGGTTTTCTGTGTTTTAATAAACCCTTTGGGAAAGTCTGACGAGCGTGTGCCTGATTCTCAGGGCCTGGCGCCTGCCCGGGGACGTCTGTGGAGAGCCCCTGGGGTGCCCCCAAAAGGGTGTGGGGCAGAGCCGTCCCTCCACCCACACCCCTGCCCCACACGTGTTGCTGGGGCCCGGGTGTCCATCCAGCCCACGCACACACGCATGCACACTGCCCCCTCACAAAAAAGTGAGTACTGTGTCCCGATGTGTGATGCATATGTGTATGTGTACTGTGGCATGTGTGAAGGGAGCACACACATGGGCCTTCATTTCTGAATCACGGGTGCAGAACTTCTTGCCCCTCACCCGCTTCCTCCAGGGCCCATTCCTCCCGGCCCACCTTTGGGCTCAGGCCCTGGAAGACCCCTCCCCCAGAGCTCTTATACCCGACAAAGGAGGGAAACAGGAAGCCGCAGCCCCCATGGGTCTTGGGTTTTATTTTCATTCCGTGAATACAGAGGCTGAGTCTGGTGGGGTCGCTGGGGGCCTGGCCTCTGCCGGGGAGGGAGAAACGCCTATTTACATGGGGTCGGGGGAAGGCGGCCGTTCCGGACATCTTCCTCGGACAGCGATAGCTGGATGGTGGGCTGGGGGCAGGGCAGGCAGACAGATCCCCAGGGCTACTCTGCAGTTCTGGGCACCCCCCACCATCCCCAGTGACCAGGGGCAGTCCCGAAGTCCAAGGCCCCTCATCTCCCCTGCTCACGGCCTCCCTAGTAGGGGGCCCTTCCACCCTGTGTCCCCCGAGTGGTCCCCATGGTGGTCCTGGCGAGGCACTGGCCTGGCTCCCCAGCTTGTCAAGGTCACGGCAAGGGCACAGTCTCCCTGCAGACAGACCCCCCTTCCCAGTGCCACCTCCATCAGTGCAAGACTCGGGGGTCCAGGTTCCCCGGGGCAGGGCAGGGGTGCTCCCTGCACTCATAGATGGTGCTGTCCGGGATGGGTGTGACGGCGTCAGGCTATGGGGGCAGAAAGGGTCGGGGAGCACCTGGCCCTCAGCCCTTGTCCTGCTGGATGGGGATGGGCCCTTTTGCTGCAGGAAAGCCTGGCTCCTGAACCTCTTTGCTGTGCAGCCGGCCAAGGCTGGGGGTCAGCTCGAACCCCTCCCCTTCCTTCTGACCCCCGTACCAGGCCGAGGCCACAGAGGGGCTGCCCACCCTCTTTCTGACCTCAGTCTGGCCGCGTCTGACCCTCCGGCCCCTGTAACAAGCTCTGGCTCCCACAGCTGAGCGTCTCCCTGTGTGAGGTCTGGAAGGTGCTGCTTAGGGTGGGCCCACACGTTCTCTCTGATGAGTCTCCCTGGGGGGGGGCTTGTGGGGGTGCAGCAGGGGGCCTGGGCTGGAGCCTGCTCCTCCGGACCACCTGAGGTCCTGGCCTCCCTGTTGGGGCTCACGCCTGGTGTGTGAGGAGGGGTGTCACCATTTCTGTGGGTCCCACGCTGCACAGCCTGCCCCCAGACCCCTCCCCTGCCAGCAAGGGTGGGTGGGACGGCTGGGCAGGCCAGGGGGGGCGGAGAAGGGGCCCGGAGGCCCAGACCTGCTCTCCTCCACCTAGTGGGGGTCCGCAGCCTGCGGGCACCGGGGGGGCTGTGCTGGGGGGTCCGCGGTGCGCTGGAGGCGGGGCAGAGGCGCTGGCGGGGATGCGGGGCTCAGGGCCGCCCCCCACCTCGGCCCAGAGAAGCAGCGACGGGGGCTGGCAGAGGGCAGTTTCCCGGCCCTCGGTGCTAGTTTGCTCGTGGGCGCCAGCCACGTGCCTGACTTGGCCTCAAAACAGCTGGAAGCGGACAGAGACTGGGGGGGGGGCACAGCGTCCAGCCGGCACGGGCCGCTCACGACCGGTAGTCCTTTTTGCTGTAGGGTTTATTGCCCAGGATGCTGTCGATCTCGTGGATGATGGAGGACGACAGTTTGGGGAGGACCTGGACAGAGGCAAGAACGCTCGTCAGAGGCCGCATGGCTGGGCTGTCCCCAGCCGGCCCTGGGCAGCAGTGGGCACTGACTGATCTTGGATTCCAGCAGGCTGGTGCAGAGGAGGCTGCCCGGATTTGCACTCCCCTTTCAAACTCCAGAAGCCTCTAGAATCTTCTGAAAGTACGGCAGAGGCATAGAAGGCTAACCACAGGGCCAGAATGTCTGCTTTCCACAATTCCCAGCCCTCTCGCCTCAAAGGACAGCACACCGGCCCTCAGGTGATAAAAGCCAGGGGTCCGCGGCCCTCTTCTCCCCCAGTACGCATGCCCCCGGCTCCCCGGACCCGAACCCCACCCCCAGCTCATCTCCTGCTCTCCGCTCCCCCCATGCTGTTCTGACTCGTTCAAACCTATGGGACGATGACAGCTTTGCACCCAGCAACCTGGAGTGCTGCTTGGAAGGCCTTAGCCTGTGCTGGCCGTCTGGATGGGGTGGTCCCGCAGGTCACTCACCTGGATGGCCCCGATATTCTCCATCAGCTGGTCTGCACTGGAGGCGCCCAGGAGCACGGAGCTGACGCCTTCGTTCCTCAGGCACCAGGCTGGGGACACGGGGGTGGGTGAGGCCCTGCCGGGGCTGGGGAGAACCAGCCCCTGGTCCAGGGGGGCGCCTTAGGGGAGATAAAGACCCGGCGCTCAGAGACCCTCCCTCGCCCGTGAACTGGGCGCCCTGACACCCAGGGAAGGGTCACCTATGGCCAGCTGGGGCAGGGTGCAGCCCAGCCGCTCGGAGATGGCCTGCAGTTCCTTCAGCTTGGCCTGCTGGCGCCGGCCCTCCTCACTCAGGATCTTGTCCTTCAGCCACTGGTAGCCCTGGAGAGGGGTGGAGAAAGGGTGGTCTCTCTCCTGAGCCCCTCCGCCGAAATCCTTCTGCCGCCCGCAGCCCAGCTGACCCCAGGGCGACTTGGGTCTGGCCACCTCCTGAGTCCCCGCTCCAGTGGGGTGTGGGCAGTGGGGGATGTGCGGGCGGGCAGCTCTGGGGCACTGGGAGGCTCTAGGCGTTCAGGTCTAGGGTTGGAGACAGGGGGGGCCCCCTGGGCACGGACCGCATGGGAACCCCCCTGGACAGGCCCCTGCACCACCGCACAGACGGGCCCAGGGCCGTCCCGATGCCCACAGCTGTCACCTTCAAGGAGGCTCTCGAGTAGGGCGGGATGCCACTGTCGTATTTCCCCGAGACGATGCCGCAGGCCAGAGGGGACCAGGTCATGGCGCCGACCCCTGGGGGTGGACAGCCGGAGAGAGGTCAAGGGGGTGATGGGACAGAGGGAGCAGCAGGCAGAGGGACGTGGCAAACAAGAGAGGTGGGCAGAGAACAGGGTGGGAAGAGAAGAAAAAGTGGGTAGGGCAGGAAGAGCTGGGCGGGGGCGGGGCAATGGGCGTGGCCAACAGATAGGGGCGTGTCCGAAAAGAAAAGGCAGCCACGAGGGAGCAAGGCCAACAAGGGGCGGGACATGAGCAGCTCGGTAAAGGGGCGTGGCCAAAGGGCGGGACAGCCGCGTGGCTGACAGAAAGGGCAGGGCCGGGGTGATGGGCGTGGCTAACAGGACGGGGCGTGTCCGACAAGAGGCAGGACATAAACAGCTCGGCGGAGGGGCGTGGCTAACAAAAGGGCGTGGTCAACAGTGGGCGCGGCCAAGGGCAGCGGGAGGGGCGTGGCCGAGGCGAGAAGGCGGGCGCAGTGCGGGGGTGGAGAGGGGGCCCGGCCTGCCCACCTATCTTGTGGAAGAGCTCGGGCAGCTGCACCTCCACCTTCTCCCGCTGAAACATGTGGTACTCGGCCTGCTCGCAGATGGGCGGGATCAGGTTGAACTGCCGGGCCACGGAGTAAGCCTCCTGCGGGCGCAGAGGGCGGTGGTCAGCACTGGGGGGTGCGTGGAGGGGTGCTGGGGGCAGCCAGGCACCCCGGGGAAAGGCTGGCCTGCCTGCCCACTTCCCCCCGCACGCTCTTCCTGGGACCCTTCAGGCCACGGTGAGCCCGCAGTCTGGGTCCTGGGCCCCAAGGCAACTCAGCATTGAGACTCAGCTTCTGGGAGCTCCTGGCCTGGTGGCCTTGGGCACAGGGATCTCTGCTTTGTGCTTTGGTTTCCCCATTGCTGAGGGTAGAGTGAGCCAGGCGTGGCTGGAACAAGCATGGCAGGGCCGTGGCAGACACCCCCCTCCCCCCTGCTGCCATCTCTTGAGCCAGGATGCAATTTCCACATCAGCATAACAAGGTTAGGGCTGACTCAAGGCAGTTTAGGAAAGAAGCTAGGGGCAGGGCACTGGTCCTGGCTCTGCTGGGGCCATTCCTAGAGGTGCTCGGGGACAGATGATGCAGAGGATGGATCTGGGGTCAGCTGCAGGCCAGGCATTGCCTTCCTCTCTGGTCTGCCCCAACCCCTAAGGCTGGCCAGTACAGTGGTCAGTGGAAAATCTTTTTTTTTTCTTTTTGTGTTACACCCAGTGATGCTCAGGGCTCTGCACTCACAAATTACTCCTGGTGGTGCTCAGGGGACCATATGTGATGCTGCGGATTGAACCCAGTGGGCCATGTGCAAGGCAAACACCCGACCCGCCATATTATCTCTCTGGCCCCCAGTGGGCAATCTTCTGTAAGGCCTTCGGGAGGGCAGTGGCTTCTGAGGAGCAGGGTGAGGGAGGCAGGGACTGGGCTGGGTGGGTGGGGTCCAGCCTGAGAACGGGCTGAGGAAGCTGCTGCCCAGAGCGTCAGGAACCCTCTGCCTCTGCCGGCATCTGCGTGGCAAGTGACCAGCAGGAGAGTCTGGTGTGGACGGGGGGGGGGGGGGGGGGGCGGGAGCCTAGTGTCAGAACTGGCTGGGGTGTCGCACGATCCCGGGCAGGTCACTCCGAGGGCCTCTTCTGTACAGAGGCGACGGTGGTGCTGCCCTTGAGGGTCTTGTGAGGGCTCCTGTGATTCCCTGAACTTGGTGCCAGTGCGGTATCACCTCTGAGCCTGGCCGCGCTCTGGACTTTGCCCCATCCCGTTAGGGCCCCACAGGTCCAGGAGAGCAAGGCTGAGGACCCCATCGTCTCAGCCAGCACCAGGACCCTCTAGGACCTCCACCCCGATATGGTCCCGCCCAGTGTTGCCCCTTAGCCCAGTCACAGTGTGAGTCTCTGGGGCCCTGACCTTCACCAGAGTGGACAAGGGGTCCCTGTGTGCATGCACTCAGACATGCACTCGGACATGCTCCACTGTGTACACATATGTACACACTCAACAGAGCCCAGACATGTGCACACGACATGCATACAAATACCAGCACACGTGCACGCAACACACACGAACGCACAATGCCCACACACACTCAGGTATGCACAGGTGCATGCCGTGCCCGAACACGTGCACAGTGCTCACACACGTACACACACAAGGAGACACGAACAACACATGCACGCACAGAGGTACAAAGTCCCACATGTGCGCGCACACGCACGTGGCCCCTACCATGATCTCCATGGAACTCCAGCGTGACGTGCCCCAGTACATGGCCATCCCCTGGTTGATGACGTGGGTCATGGCTCGTACCGTCTCTGTCGTGAGAAAAGGTGACACTGCAGGTTGGGGGCAGGCAGGGGGGGTAGGGGCAGGGGCGCGGCCTGGGGACACTGTGGCAGACGCAAGCAAGGCCAGGAGGGCAGGTGCTGCAGAGACGGCTTGCAAGCGGTGTGCGCCCGGGCTCTGGCGTCAGGGGTGCGGGAGCTTGGGGACGACAGGAAATGTGTCCCGCGACCTGGAAGGGGGTCTCCACGGCAGTGCTCCCAGCAGGTGTCTGAGCTGGGGGCAGGGGGGAACCGCTGGTTCCGGGTGCATGATGGGGAGGAGGGCCGAGGACTGGGCATGCCGTGCCACAGGCTGCCGGCGGGCAGCCCAGGCTCTTTCCAGGGAGCCGGGTGGGGCACGGTGGCATGTGTGAGGACGAAGGTGAGGCCTCGGAGCCCCCAGGGAGCCGCAGCGTCCTGTCCCTAGGGGGCTACACACCGCTCTTGGGCCAGCCAGGTTCAAAAAGGCCTGGAGCAGGACTGTCCATCTGTCCATGAACCCTGACGGTCCCCCATTCCCTAGCAGATCTCTAGGCAGCCCCTGACCCCCCGCCAGCCGCCAACGAGGCTCGGGAGTCACCCTGGGGGGTTTGGGATGCCGGGGATCAAACCCGGGTCATCTGTGTGCAGCCTGTGCCGTCCTCACGGCCCATGTTGTTTAGAAAACAATCTGACCTCGACTCAGGACCCGGTGAACATCTCCGCTTTCTGGGGGGAAAGGCCACCCCAGGCCCGCCTGGCCCCATACAGTGCTTCCAAGTGCAGCTGCCCGAGGCCGCGGGGGCAAGCCGGCAGTGCCTGCGACCGGGCATGGGCCTCCTCGGACATGCTGGCCCCGCGGGGCTGCCTCAGAGCCCTGTGGATGCCGGGGCCTGGGCAGTCGGGGAGGAGGATTGGGAAGCCAGGCTGGCCCTGGGAGCTGCGCTCGCAGCAGGCACCTTCAGGCAGAAAGTGGCCCTTCTCTCACTGACCACGGCCCCTCCCGGCCTCCCAGAGCGGCCCCCAGCAGGGTGACCCCCGTATCGCCCCCAGCCTCCAGGGAAGTAGGCCTGGCTCCACTCTGCCCACCTGGGGCGGAGGGCGCGGGGGGCTGGCAGGGAGAGTCCATTCCCTGCTGCCTGGCCCCCCCAACACACATGGGCAGGAAGGAGAGCGCCCGCCGCCCGCTGAGGCCGCCTGTTCCCGCCTGGACTCGGAGCCTGAGACATGCGGCATCTTTGGCTCAGGCCGCATGCCAGGGAGACGGCAGGGCAAGACACTCCCCTCCCAGGCAGGGGGAGTGGTCCGGGTTGCCTGCAGGGTCCTGGGTCCTGAGGGTCTGCAGCAGCGGCTGGTGGGGTGCAAGCCCCTGTGGGGGTGTGCACGGCTATGTACCCCTGCTCAGGCCTGCTGCCAGGGGTCTTGACACAGGGAGGTCGGGGGCGACTGCCCTTCACCTCGGCATTCAGTGCTGCTGAGGTGGGTCCCTCCTGTCGCATCACAGTGCCAGCTGGCAGACAGGCCCGTCCCCATGGAGGGAAGCCCAGATCCCAGGCACCAAGTCCTGCCCTTGGCATGGACGCCCAGCGGTCAAGCCTGGCCTGAGGCGCCCTGTGTTCAGTGCTCGGCTCAGGCGGGCAGACATGCTTCCCCACGGAATAATCTGGCAGCCCGGCACGGGCTGAGGGTACCCGGGTCAGGAGGGGCCAGAGAGCATGGTGCCCACAGACGTGCCGGGCCACGAGTCGGGGGACCCTGAGCTGTCTGCCCCGATGGGAACTGGGGTCCCCCCCTTGCTCCTCCCAGACCAACCAGGGTCAGGGTTTCAGGTGCTGATCACGGCACCCCCAAGTCCGGGGGAGCTGAGGCCGAGGCTGCAGCGGTGCCGGGCGGGCGGGGGGACATGCAGAGGAGGGCAGGAGGGAGAGGGCAGCCGCGTGGGGGGGGTATCCCCACCGCGTGCTTGTCCCTCACTTGCAAGATGTCCTCTGGGGCACTTATGTTTGCTCTCTGCATTTTATGGAGGAGTCTGTCACCGGGAAAGCGGTGTTTAAATAACAACGCTCTCATAAAATGCAGCCGGGCCCGGGAGTCAACAGTCGGGTGAGGGGCCTGTGTACCTTCTATGACGAATGTCCTGGACTTGGAGGAACTAAATGGGTCCCCTGGTGATAAAAGAAAGATTTAAAGAGACCAGAGTTTGACAGCTGCGGGCGGCGGGGGACAGGGCAGGAGCCGGTGGCCGCGGTTCTCACAGCAGAACACGCACACAGCCACGGGCGCGGCGTGGCCGCAGAGGCGACCCCGGGCCCCGAAGCAGCAAAGCGCAGATGAGAAAACGCCTGGAGCAGGAAGTGGGGGCCCAAGGGGACCCCCAGTGGGAACAGAAAGGATGGATAAAGAAATAACTGCCTCGGGCAACTTGCAGTGCTCCCTGCCCTACGGAGCAACGGACCGCCAGCGTCAGGCCAGAGCTCCTGGCAGAATGTGCCAGAACAGAGGGCGGTGGGCTGCCCGTCATGCCACGTGATGCCACGTGGCCCAGAAGAAAGGCGACGGCATGGTCCTCAGGGAGGGCGTCTGCCCTGCCCACTTCCCAGCCTGGCCGCCTCGGGCCCAGAACCTTCCATCCCCCGGAGAAGCATTGATGCTGGCAGCCAACGGCGCTGCCCTGGGAACGTACCTTCCATGGGTGTGTTGGGGTCCGGGCGGTTGGCAAAGACCACGTCCACGTACTCCAGCTGCAGCCGCTCCAGTGACGCCCTCAGGCCTGGGGGCGGGAGGGACCATCACTGTTGCCCCCCGCCCCCCCACAGCCACCCAAGCCCGGGAGCGAGAGCAAGGCCAGGCCGCAGGGCGAGATGCGTGGATGGGCTAGGCTGGGCATCCTGAGTGAGCCACAGGGGCACCTCCTAGGGGTTGGGGAGGGGCACAGGTGTCGCAAGGGATGGAGGCCTGGGGATGTGACGCATAAACCGGAAAGGCCTCCTCGGAAGCTGGGGGTGTGGAGACGAGGCTACATGGGTGCCCCCGGGTTGGGAATGTTCTAGCACTCAGCTCAGCAGGGTACCGGGCCCTTCTGCCGCCCCTCCCTGGCGAGGGACGCGCCCTGGCCGGGGCAGAGGAAAGGACGGGAAGTGGGGGCTGCTCTGGGGAGGGGGGGCAGCGGGCTGGCCTTGCATCTGCCCACAGGAGGCAGATGGGGTTTAGGGGCCCGGGTGAGCCGAGAGCCCTCCTCACCTTCAATGACGTGCTTCCTGGAGAGGCCCCTCTCAGTCTCTGCTCTGAAAGACAGGGCATGGCACTGTAGGGAGCGTTTTGGACCAAGGGATAAAAGCCACTGGGCACCAGGGCGTGAACGTAGCATTAGGGACACGCCACACAGATGGTTGGTACTGCTCAGCACCAGCTGCTGCTCATGCTGGACTCGGGTTGAGAGCCATAGGGCCCCGTGGCCCCCCAACCCCGCCTCCGCCCTCGGGGGCTCTGGCCTCTGCATCCCCGCCTCTCCCCACCTCCTGCACACCCGACCACCCCCGGACCCCCTAATCAGTTGCCCTCCCAGCCCCTGTCCTCGACCTACTTTCCTCCCCAGAAGATCTTGGTGGTGATGACCAGGCTGGACCGCCTATGGGCAGGAGAGAAGGGGGGGTCATTGGGCGCCCCCTGTGTTCAGGTCTCCCCAGGGTCTGGGTCCTTCTCAACTAGGAACTTGGGGCAGGAAAGGGGAGATCCGCTACACCTGCGGGACCGGAGAGCCTGTCACGGTGCTGGGGGGACAGAGGGGCTCTCGGGGGCAGCGCAGAGAGGGGATGGGAGCACGCCCCCCCCCCCCCGGGTTCTGAAAACTTGGAGGACTTGGGGAGCCCACAGGGGAGGGACAAGGAGGGACGGCCCAGGCTCTTGGCCCTTGGGGACAAGGGGACCCGGTAGCTGCGGCCCTGTGTGTGCCCGACTCTTCTCAGGGGTCCGCGCTGGGCTCGGGCTGGGGCCAGAGGTCACCTCCAGCCCTTCTTCTTGATGATGTTGCCGAGCACCACTTCAGCCCTGCAAGGAAGAGACGAGAGTCCTAGAGCAGAGAAGCCCAGGGGCCCCGCGGCGAAGTGCCCGGCAGGACCCTCCACAAATGTACCGGTGCAGGGGACACGGTCACGGGCAGCCCCTGCCCTGGCACTGCTGTGGGGTGACAGGGCCAGGGAGGAAGGTGACTCATGGGGTCCAGGTGGCCTGTTTTCTGAGATAACCCGTGTCCTGGGCCCGGTCGGGTTTCTAGCTGGACTCATGTACACACACACTCAGGGACTCATGCACCATGGGCACACACACAGGACAACATGAGAGCACGCATGCGCGCACACAAACACACACACACACACACGTCAGGCTCACACGTGCGTGCGTACCATGCACATGCCTGTTCACGTGAGGTGCCAGGCAGCTGTTCATGTATCGGGGTGCACGCGTGTGCCTGCATGTGAGTGTGCACACGCGTGGATGGTGTGTGTTCATGTCATGTAGAACATGTGCCACGTGCCCATGTGACAGCAAGCACACACACAGCTGGGTGTGTGCAGATAGGCCCCGTTTCCTGTGTTTGGAGGATGGGGAAACAGGCTCCCCCCCGTATTCTGGGGCTCTGCAGTGTCTGATCACGTGACAACATCTGTTGGCCATAAAGTGCATCTGAGCCCCAACAGATGGGCAGCGGTTGCTTAGTCACGGAATCTATCCGGATGCGCTGTTCAGCTTCTGGCTGTGCCCGGCTGGGCCCAGACTACGGGGGTCCCCCTCACTCCCGACAAGGAGCAGGGCCGGGAGGAAGGGCTGATGGCCAGTGCGGCCCAGCGGCAAGGGAGACATGTCCAGGTTAGCAAGTGCCAAGTGGGGCGGGCCAGCCTCGGGCATCCCCAGGGACGGCATGGGCCCGAGGAGGGCAGTGAGCACCTGGGGTGACTGTCCTGAGGAGGGCGGCTCCCTGGCAGCCCTGCCAGGGGATCTCTGAACACAGAGCCAGGAGTAAGCTTTGAGCACTGATGCGGATGGCCCCCAAACTAAAAGCAAAACCAAGGTGGGCATATAAGAGGCGGGGGTACCGGGAGGGGCCACTCAGGGCTGGTGTCTGACCCTCACCTGAGCCCCCTAGACACCTGTCACCCTGGTGGGGACCCCCAAGGAGACCCCTAGGACTGTCCGCTGGGCTCCCTATGTCTCAGAGTGTGGAGTCAACCCATGGCTTCACAACCGGAGCCAACTCTTGAGGCTGACACACGAGAGGCCCGAGTGGTCCAGTCCCTGCTTCTGGCCGGCGCCACAGCCTGGCGGCCTTGGCTTTCCCAGGCAGGCTCAGGGTCAAGCTGGGATGCGCTGCCGGCGCCGGTGCCTGGCAGCCCTCACGGCACCATGAGGACGTGCGGCTCCCAGACCGACTCGGCCCGTCCTGGTTCTCGCCCGGCCCCACCACCAAGGTGCTCAGGAGGCTGGGCAGGACTCAGTGTGTGGCAATGCCCAGGCCTTGCGACTGGCTCGCTCATCTGAGGGCCCCCAAGAGAGCAGGGGTGCCAGTGCGGGGAGCTGGACACCTACTTGCCCGCCGCGTACACTTCCGCCGTGTCGAAGAGGTTGATGCCGTTGTCGTAGGCTAAGGTCATCAGCTGTTCCGCCATCTGAAAGCAGGGAGGCGGGCGGTCTTGACAGCTGTCCCCGTGCCCAGCCCTCCCCCACGGCCCCGGAGAGCGGCGAGGTCTCAGAAGGGATTCGGGGGTCCCCCGCGGCTCGCCCCGACGCCCAGCCCAGAACCAGGGCTGCCAAGGATGAAGGTGAAGCACTGCCACCCCATCCCGGGGCGAAATGCACCTCCAATCCACATGCACCCAGGACTGAGGGCACACTCGGACCCTTGCAGGTGGGGAGGCGAATCCGGGAAATGCCCCCAGCACCCAGTACTGGAAAGGGCCACCCCGAGGCCACCCGAGTCCTGCGCTCAGGGAGGAGAGGCAGACATGGCCAGAGGCAGCTGGGCCGAGGGGTGGAGTCGGGTGCCTGCCGGGGTGGCAGAGGCACCACTGAGGGGGCCCCAGAACCCGGCAGGGTGCGGGAGACACCTCGAGGCAGACCAGGAGCCCCCGGAGACCACGGAGTTGCCCAGCTCACAGCTCAAGGGGTCACCAGCTCAGGGGTAACAGCTCACAGTTCAGGGGTCACCAGCTCACAGTTCAGGGGTCACCAGCTCACAGCTCAGGGGTCACCAGCTCACAGCTCAAGGGTCACCAGCTCACAGCTCAGGGGTCACCAGCTCACAGCTCAGGGGTCATCAGCTCACAGCTCAAGGGTCACCAGCTCATAGATCAGTGGTCGCCCAGCTCACAGCTCAGGGGTCACCAGCTCATAGATCAGTGGTCGCCCAGCTCACAGCTCAGGGGTCACCAGCTCATAGATCAGGGGTCACCAGCTCATAGATCAGGGCTCACCAGCTCACAGCTCAGGGGTCACCAGCTCATAGATCAGGGGTCATCAGCTCACAGCTCAGGGTTCACCAGCTCACAGTTCAGGGGTCACCAGCTCATAGATCAGGGGTCACGAGCTCACAGCTCAGAGATCAGAGGTCACCCAGCTCACAGCTCAGGGGTCACCAGCTCACAGTTCAGGGGTCAACAGCTCATAATCGGGGGTCGACCAGCTCACAGCTCAGGGGTCTTCCAGCTCACAGCTCAGGGGTCGCCCAGATCAAAGCTCAGGGGAAAGCGCTTGCTCTGCACACAGCTGAGCTGGGGGATTCCCGAGCACCACCGGATGTGGTCCCCAAGCAAAACGAATCCCAAGGGTGGCGGGAGGGCCGGGCCTGGTGCAGAAGCCTCTTAAGGCACGAGGCAGGGCAGGGCGAGAGAGAGAATGGGGTCAAGGGTCCAGCGCCTGGCAAGGGAGCTTTACAGCACCAGCGGGGGGTGAGGGGACACTGGGAAGTGGGGACTGCCCAGCACGTGAGTGGACTGAGTGCTCGGGAGCTGGGCTGCTAAAGGTGCCCAGGTGGGGATGTAGCTGAGAGGCTGGAGCGATGGCGGCATCTGCGAGGCCGAGTCAGTCCCCAAATGGCAGCACCGGGGTTAGCCCTGGAGTCTTCTAAGCACCTCAGCCCTGAGCACTGAGCTGCCTTCAAGCTGGGTGAGTGTTGCTGGGGGCCCCTGGGGCCTGAGCACTGCTCCGCAGGTCCTCACCAAAAATGGGTCTCACAGCAAATGCCATTCTAGGCTTGTTGGAGCCTCAATAAAAATAGTCTAAAGGGGTGAGCTTGGGGACCAGGAAACGACCCAGAGGGCTTGTGCCACGTGGGGACCTGGACACCTCTCACTGCAGGGCATGATCACCGAGAACCCAAACTGCAGGGTGCTGTCCCCCAAAACAGAACAAGTCCCCAGAAGGGCAGTTCTTACGCTTCTTGTATTTGAAAAAAAAAAACATAAAAAAGAGGAAAAAGTCACGAAGGCCACATCTGGCCCTACCTGAGTGACCACACGTGGCCATGACCCGTGGCTGACCCTGGCTGTGCACCCCTGCTCTGGTCACAGGACGCCACCTCCTTGGCCTGGCTTGAGGGTCCACCCCAAACTCCTGCTCATTCTTTGGTTCCGACATTGCCCCCACTGGGACCGTCCAGAATGGGGGGGGTCTAGTCGCCATCCTGGCCCTGCCAGCACCACGTCAGTGTGTCCTGGAGATGACTGGCAGAGCCCAGCCTGGTGTCCTTGGGTGAAGAGCATCTAAGTGGACAGGTCTGGCTGGTGGTGACTGCCCCGAGAGCTCCCGGCTAGAGTTTCTGGCAGCGAGAGGGGCGGGTGGCCCACGGGGCACCAGCTGCTATTCTGAGTGCTCCCGACGCAGTGGGCCTGAGTGCTCCTGAGTGCTCCTGACGCCCGCAGGCGGGCAGGCCCAGAGACTGAGCCACTGCAGTGCTGGGTGTGGACCCAACACCCCCAAGAAAGAAACAGCGAAAGGCGGCAAAGCTCCTTGGGCAGGTGAGGGAAGGGCGGTCACAGCTGAGGTCCTGATGGACGCGCTCGTGAAATTTTCAAGGCCACCTTTCCAGCCAGGGCGGGCGGGGGAGGGGGGTGTTCCACCACCCTCGGGCCGGGGTGGGAGGAGGCTTGCGGGGAGGAGTGAGTTGCCAGGAGCTGGGCTCCGCAGAGGGGAATCTGTCCCGGGCGCTGCTGTGTGGGAGCCCAGGGCGCGGCCTCTACCCCTTCTGGCCCACGTGGGAGGGAGGGTGGGGTGTGGCGGGGTCCAGGCCCTGTGGCCAGCGTCCCTCCCCCCTCTTTCTGATGGAGAAACGGCAGGCTCAGGGGCCTTTCGTGGGCGCGCCCGGCAGGGTGTCAGAGTCGCCTTACCTCGTCGGTGATCTGGCCTCCAAAGGTGACCCATGTTCCTGCAAGGGGATGCGGGCGTCAGGGGCCATGCCCGGGGCTGCCCGCAGGGCCCACCCGAGGTGCGCGAGTGCATGACAAGAGCAGAATGTGAGTGTGCGAATGACTGTGTGTGAGTGTGTCAGTGTGTGTGCATCAGTGTGTATGTGTGTGTCTGTGTGTGGATATATGTGCAAGTGTATGTGTGACTATTGACAGGGCTCAGGCTCCCTCCCGAGGAACTTGGGGGTTATCTGTGTGTTGGAGACTGACCCCCTGCCCTGCTGTGTCTGCGGCCCTGTGTGTGGTCACTGTTAGTGGTGTGTGTGTGTGTGGTGTGTGTGCATACTGTGTACAGTGTGCTGTGTGTGGTCTGTGTGTGTGCTGTGTATGTGTGGGTGCTGTGTGCGGTCTCTGTGTGTGGTGTGTGAGTGTAGGCATGTGTGTGGTGTGTGTACGTTAGGTGCCTGTATGTATGTGTGTAGCGTGTGCGTGGTGTGTGCTGTGTACCAAGACCCTGATACTCACCTTCTCTCCCCAGCCCCTCCTCCCAAGCCTGCAACTCTGCCCCTCGCAGGCCATCCAGGCCTCCTTGGTCACTGGCCCCCGCCTGTGCCGGGGAGAGCCGGGGAGGCCCCTCCCATGGCCCCAGCACTTACCGAGCCCCAGGCAGGAGACCCGCAGGCCCGACTTCCCCAGGTTCCTGGAAAACAGACGGAGTGAGCGCACGGGCAGCCCCCCGCCAGCAGCCCCCCAGGACAGCCCTGCCTGTGCCTGGGGATACTTGGGCCAGAGGGCAGTGCTCGGTGTCCGGTGCTCAGCCCACCTGCCCACCCCTCGCCCCATTCCCGAAGAGCTCGGATGTGGGAGCCTTGCGGCAGGAATAGGGGAGACCCATCCGCCTGGAGGGAGGACCACTCAGGGGTTCCTCCTGGCTCTGCACTCAGGAATTACTCCTGGCAGTGCCCGGGGGACTATATGGGATGCTGGGAATTGAACCTGGGTTGGCCACGTGCAAGGCCAACACCCTCCCCGCTGTGCTATTGCTCCGGCCCCTGCGCAGTCAGTTTTGAGGGACGCAGAAGTGACCCCTGCCTCCCCCCCAGAGGCCCCGGCCTTGCCCACGGTGCCCTCTGCTCACTGTTGCCCTGTCCCCGCATGCAGTGGAGGCTGGCACGGGATGGCTCCTGAACCCATGTCCAGTGTGGGGATACCAGGATCGCCCCACACCTGGCAGCCCCTGCCGTCTCTGCACACGTACGACCTGCTGGGGCTGGGCTTCCACCCCGGGCGCTGCACGCTCCCCGAGCACTGAACTGGGAGCAGTCCCTGAGCACTGGCAGGTGTGAGCCAAAGAGTGAACGAAAGCTATCGCGTTAAAGGGGGCAGAGTGCCCCCCCCCCAAAGCCTGCACGCGTGTCCCTGCAGTGGTGGCCACCGTGCCTCCTGTCCTCGGCTCCCCGGGGCCCCTGTCCCGTGTGGAGCCTCTGGACACGAGTCAGGGGCTACTTCTCTGGTCAGTGGTTTATTATTTATTTTGCTTTTTGGGCCACACCCGGCGATGCTCAGGGGTCGCTCCTGGCTCTGCACTCAGGAATGACTCCTGGCGGTGCTCGGGGGACCCTGTGGGATGCCGGGGATCGAACCCAGGACAGCCGCGTGCAAGGCAGACGCCCTCCCCGCTGTGCTGTTGCTCCAGCCCCATCTGGTCCGTGATTCAGAGGAACCCCCGTGGCCCCGCCTCACCGGCCCACACCCTAGAAGGTTCCGTGGTGGCAGAGTCAAATGTTCTCTATTATTACGATGAATATATTCGTTTGCGTTTCTGGGCCCCACCCCACAGTGCTAGGGGTGACTCCTGGCTCTGCTCTCAGGAATCCTCCTGGGGGTTCCGGGGGCCATACGGGTGCTGGCCCAAGCTCCCTCCCTCCCACCCCCCCACTGTTGTCCCCTCGCTCTGGGCCTCGAAGGTTCTTTTGCGCCTCCTGATACTGAAGCCAAATGGAGGGAGGGAGGGAGGGTCTGCGCGGCCTGAGGTGCCCGGCGCCTGCCACGGTATCCAGGCCAGGAAGGGAGCTTGGCCAATCCCGCAGGCTGGAGTCACTGCCCAGCACACCCCCATAAGGCGGCTTCGGGGACACACTGGCTGGGGCCCAGGCGCAGGTCTCAGCTGCTACTTGGGATGAAACTGGGAAGCGCTGGTGGGCGCATATGCCAGCTGAGGCCACTCCCTTGCCTCAGAGGAGACATGACGGGTTCTCTGACAGGCAGAATGAGGGAGACAGGCTCTCTGAGGGGGGGACAGATTCTGAGGGGGGACAGGCTCTCTGAGAGGGGACAGGTTCTCTGAGGTGGGGGACAGGTTCTCTGAGGTGGGGGACAGGTTCTCTGAGGTGGGGGACAGGCTCTCTGAGGGGGACAGTCTCTCTGAGGGGGACAGGCTCTGATGGGGATAGGCTCTCTGAGGGGGGACAGACATTCTGAGGGGAGACAGGCTCTCTGAGGGGGACAGGCTCTCTGGGGGGACAGGCTCTCTGAGGGGGACAGGCTCTCCGGGGGGGGGGACAGGCTCTCTGAGGGGGACAGGCTCTCTGAGGGGGGCAGGCTCTGAGAGGGACAGCCTCTCCGGGGCGGGGGGGGGGGGAGGACAGGCTCTGATGGGGACAGGCTCTTTGAGGGGGAACAGACATTCTGAGGGGAGACAGGCTCTCTGAGAGGGACAGGCTCTCTGAGAGGGACAGGCTCTCCGGGGGGGACAGGCTCTTTGCGGGGGGACAGACATTCTGAGGGGAGACAGGCTCTCTGAGGGGGACAGGCTCTCTGAGAGGGACAGGCTCTCTGGGGGGACAGGCTCTCTGAGAGGGACAGGCTCTCTGAGGGGGGACAGACATTCTGAGGGGAGACAGGCTCTCTGAGGGGACAAGCTCTCTGAGGGGTCAGGCTCTCTGAGAGGGACAGGCTCTCTGGGGGGGACAGGCTTTCTGAAGGGACAGGCTCTCTGAGGGGGGACAGACATTCTGAGGGGAGACAGGCTCTCTGAGGGGGACAAGCTCTCTGAGGGGGACAGGCTCTCTGAGGGGGATAGGCTCTCTGAGAGGGACAGGCACTCTGGGGGGACAGGCTCTCTGAAGGGACAGGCTCTCTGAGGGGGGACAGACATTCTGAGGGGAGACAGGCTCTCTGAGGGGGACAAGCTCTCTGAGGGGTCAGGCTCTCTGAGAGGGACAGGCTCTCTGGGGGGGACAGGCTTTCTGAAGGGACAGGCTCTCTGAGGGGGGACAGACATTCTGAGGGGAGACAGGCTCTCTGAGGGTGACAAGCTCTCTGAGGGGTCAGGCTCTCTGAGAGGGACAGGCTCTCTGGGGGGGACAGGCTCTCTGAGGGGGGACAGACATTCTGAGGGGAGACAGGCTCTCTGAGGGGGACAGGCTCTCTGGGGGGGGGACAGGCTCTCTGTGGGGGGACAGGCTCTCCGCCCTGACAGGCTTCGCTGCCTCGTTGCTCATCAGGGTGACGGGTCCCTCCGGGGCTGCCTCTGGGAACTCTCTGGCCCCGTTTTCTCCCCGAACAGAACCAGTCAGAATTGGTCAGCCCTTGCTCAGGAAAGTGGCTAACGAGATGTGTGGACGCGGCCCGGGTCAGTGGCACAGGGGACCCAAGCAGCAGCCCAGCCCTGGGAGTCACAGACCCCTGAGATACTGAGAAACTCAGATGCTTAACGGGCTGGAGCGCACGTGTGCACACAGGAGCCCAGGCTTCATGCCTGTGATACACGGCCCCGAGCACTGCTACAGAGTCGCGCAAACGAAAACAGTGAGCTTCAGAGGACTTGGGATGAGCGCGGGTCACTGTTGGGTGAAGCCCCATCCTGTTACTGGGCCCAACATGGTCCCCTGGGGGTCTCCAGTGCTCACCCCTGAGCACAAGCCAGCAGGGCTGAGTGTGCAAACCGAGGCGAGCACCATCCCGTCCTGAGTCCCTGCGCCCCGAACCATCAACTACAAAGGGCAGGGCAAGAATCGGTGCCAGGGTCAGGCCTCGGGCTCTGGGGGTGGCACCAGACAGAGCTGCAGGGACGGAGGGTCAAACGCCCGCAGACGGGCACACTCAGCATGGCACACACAGGCGTGTACACACCCGGCAGCACATGCAGAGCTCCCACACGCACAAACGTGCACACACATGGACACATGCGTGCACACACAGACATAAGCGCGCACATACACGCACGTGTACACTAACACACAAGTACGCACAAGTGCACACACATACACACACATTCCCAGGCTCTGGGAGTGACGCGGCAGATCTCAGGGGGTCTGTCCCCCACAAGAGGTCTGGTCACCACGGGGCCACGAGAGGCATGTCTAGGAGGCAGGTTCCTGACGCCACCCCAGGCTCCGGGATAGGGATGCGCGGCCCAGGAGGGCACAGAGTGGTGGTAGACGTCGCCTGGAGCCTCTCAGAGGTGGGACCGGCTTGGCTGCTGCGAGACAGCCCGGCTGGTCAGCACCTGTCCTGTGGCCTTCCCTGAGGCGAAGTCCAGGGCGACAGCCACTGACCCCAGAAACTTGGGCAGCACTTTCCCAGAAGGCCTGGAGCCGCCGAGACCCTCAGAGCCATTCCCACCCCCTGGCTGCAGAGAGCTCCGGGCAGGACCGCAGTGGACAGCAGCCGGCATGGGCAGGTCAAGACCAGACTGCAGGATGACCCCTGACCTTGGTGAAGGGCCAGACCCCTGCAGGACGGCCCCTGCACCCAGGGCCACACCCCCTTGCCCAGCTGGCGGCACCCCCCGGCATCTGAGATGGCCCCGGAGTCAGGCTGTGGGGAGATGGGGTGCGGGCTGAACCCCGAGAGCCGCTGTTGTCAGTCGGGCTGCAGAGGCGCCTGGGTGTGTCTGGGCAGGGACGAGATGCCCCCTTCCCAGCATGGGAACCCAGGGGTCCCCAGAGAGAGGCAGCAAATAGAGGTCAGCCTGGGGGCTGCAGCCCCGGGAATCAGGAGGCCGCAGCCCCTCTTAGTTTTCACCCAGCTCCCCCGGGCGCGGACGGCCACTGCCCACCCGCCCGCCACCCCCGTTCCCACCTCCTACCTAAGCACCATCCCCTGCCATCTCCCGCTGGGCTTGCCGGCGCTCGGGGGGCTCCGCGCTGACGGTGGTCCTGGGCTCCGTGCCGACAGGGCCCCTGCCCGGAAGTGGCTGCGGGCACTCGGGCTGCTGGCTGCAGAGCCCCGGCCCTTGAGGCCATGCTCGGAACACGCAAAGGACACCTGCATGCTGGCCACTGTGGGGCCTCGTGCCCTCTCACCCCGACGGGCTTTCCCGGGGGGCTGGAGGACCCTTAGAAGGAGCTGGGGCTGTCGCTGGCCGGGTGCGGGCCGGGGTCCTGCCTCCGCACCCCGGCGTCTGCTGCTCGCTCCCACGGTGAGCCGCGGAGGATCTGGCCGCGTTTGGGAGGGGGAGGAGGCGCCGGCGATCCGTTATTAATGAGGCCCACGGGGCGGCTGCGTGTGGGACACGGGGGGCGGGACCCTGTGGCTGGCCCAGGAGACGCCTGGAAGCTGAGGAGGTGGAGGAGAGCAGGGGTACAAGGACCCCCAGAAAGTGCCCGGGGCCACCCGCTTCCCCATCACTCCTGCCTGCCGTGCTCGGTGTTGGGTTCCTCCTGGGGTGCTCTCGGGCGGGCACCCTGCCCTCTCGGGCCTCTGCAGACAGGCGGCCACTGCGGGCCCCAGGAGGTCGTGGGGTCCAGGCCCGCCCACGGTGCCAGGGCAGCCCCCGGACCTGGAAGCTGCGGAGGCCCCGGGGGGACAGTTTGGAGGTGGCCAGGGGGCCCGGCTGGGGGGTGCTGGCCCCGACTCTGCAGGGGGGAGGCCACGGGCAGAGGTGGGCACGACTCTCTAGCGCCTTGCTCAAACCCTGGCCCGGGCTGTACCCTGCAGAGTTTGACCCCCCATAGAGCCCAGGGTGCCCGGCAACGCGGGGGAGCATCCCCGTGCTCCCCTTCCTCCTCCCGCCTCAGCACACGTCCACACACACATGCACGGGGGACCCGCCTCCTCTTCCTCCAAGTTCAAGGAGGGCCTGGAGACCCCCCTGAGGGAGTCGCCCCGCTGACCCCACCCCACAAGCCACTGCTCAGCCACAGCACAGCCCAAAACCTGAGCACACGGTCGCACACAGATTGTCTGCACAGGACCTGAGTGGGGACACCATGGGGATGGGGGGGGGGGAGGGGGGCAGAGAAAGAGAGAGAGAGAGAGAGAGAGAGAGGGAGGGAGGGAGGGAGGGAGGGGGAGCAGCCTCCTGGTACAGGGGTGATCCTGAGAACTCTCGGAGCCATTTCTGAGCACCTGGACTTGGCCGACTTCAACCCTGCCCCTGTGGGGACAGTGACCAGACTGTGGCCTGTCAGGCCGAGTGACGGGACTGGGGGATCTCCGTGGGGGCGCAGGGACGGACGGGTTGGAGGGAGGCCCACCCCTACCACCAAGGCCAGCACACCTCACCCCACCCCTGCACCCACGACCAGCTCGCCTCACCCCTGCCCCCAGGGCCAGCACACCTCACCCCTCCCCTGCCCCCAGGGCCAGCTCACCCTACCCCTGCCTCCATCCTGTCTTAGGCAGGCCCTGTCTACCGCAGGGCCTCTTGCCCTGAGTCTGAGCCCTGGGGTTGAACCACACAGACTCTACACCAGCCTGTGGTGCTTGGGGATCACTCCTGGTGGGCACAGGGGACACTCTGGGCTGCCCGGGGATGGAACCAGGGTCAGTGCTTCGGGGGTGCAAGTGCCAGGAGCCGAGAAACCGAATACGCCCTTCCCTGGAAGTGACTCCCGGATAGCTGGGAGCCTGGGGAGGGCGTGGTCAGCGCCGCCTACACGGGTCACCTGACCAGACTGTTTCCCGGAGATGGAAGTCGCACAGGGCGGCCTGGCTCTGTCCTGGCCATCACAGTGAGGAGGATGCCAGGGCCACGTCGGCAGTCACCAAAGGTGCCCATGGCACAGACTGGACGCAGGTGGGTGGGGCACCCAGCCAGGGGGTGCTCAGGGGACACTGAGGGCTCAGCCGGCGGGGGCTGGGTGGGCAGCGGGGCCCCAGGCTGGAGGTGGGTCTCGTGTCTGAGCCCCGCCTGCTCCCTACCCCGGGCTCTCTCTGGAAGCACACGGAACGGCGGGTTTCGGGGTCTCCAGTCACAAGTCCCAGGCCCCTTCACACCTCTGGCCTGTCCCCTGGGGGATCAGAGACGGGGGCAGGCTGCAGGTCGCCAGCTGCAAACGGGCCAAGCCCAGGAGCGGGGGAGAGTGGCCCTGCCCACCCCATCCGCTGTCCCCATGGCTTGGCTCTGAGTCGTGACCCACGGGGCAGACCCATGGGCTCTCCGTGCTCCCGGCCACGGCCACCTCTGGGGCGTCCTGGTGGGGCGGTGACGCCCACTCGCGGCCGCCCGGCCCTTACCGGTACTTCATGCCCGTCTGCTGGGCGGTGCAGCCGTCCAGGGAGAGGCCGTGCGTGCGCAGGAAACTCTCCATGTTCCTGGCCCGGGCGGCCGCCCGCACATCCCGCAGCCGCTGCAGCTCCAGCGTGCCAGCCTGGCGCATGGCGGGCAGCGCCCAGTCCGAGTGGCACCGGCTGCTCACACTCCGCAGGCTCTCGCTGTACGTCATGGACAGCATGGTCCAGCCTGGCCCGCCGGCCGCCGCGTCCACCCGGGAAGTGCCGAAGGGTCCTGCTCGGAGAGCCCGCGGCCACCCTCAGCGCCCTGACGCCCACCTGCCCCGCCCCGCCCCACCCCGCCCCGGCTCTAGACATGAACCCCTCCGGAGGGGCCCCCCCGGCAAAGCCGCATGCCAGGAGCATGTGCCAAGGGCCTGGGGCAGATGGGTGCAGAGAGCATGCACAGCGTGGCCCAGGACTCAGCGTGGAGCGATCTGGGGGTAGCTGGAGCCGACGTTGCAGGCTGCGCTGGGCACCGCCGCTGGGACTCCGTCATAAGCCCTGTCCAGGGCCCCCCGTGCATCTGGGCCTGGGAGCGGGGGACTCCAGGGCCACGGCCACGTGGTCTGCAGCACAGAGACTGGGCAGAGGGGAGTAAGGAGGGCAAGTCCTCGGGCTGGACAGAGGGATGGGCCGTGAGGCAGGTGCCCACGGAGGTCCAGGAGCAGCCGAAGGGAGGTGGGGTGGGGTACCCCGTCCGTCCACCCTCACTTGGGTTCTTCGCCTACCCCTGCGGGTGAGGTCAGGCAGTGGGGGCCGAGGGAGCCAGCACTGAAAACATCTCCCTGTGTGCCCGCTCAAGGGGTGCTGTCATCCCCTCAGGCCTGGGCCTGCCCCTCTGGGGAGCTGGGGGGGGGGAGGGCCCCTGCACCATGAACCAAGGCAGGCTGGAGCCTTTGTGCCTCTCTGGTCTCCGGACCCACTGAGGCGTGCAGGCTGGGGGCCGTCCACCCCAGGACTGTCCTGGGCAGCAGGCAGAGCCCTCCCGCCTCCCCTCTGCACTGGGGAAACTCTCCATGTTCCTGGCCCAGGTGGGTCCCGCCCCTGGGGGTCCCGCTGGTCCCCACTCACCCTGCGGGACTGGCCACGGTCAGGCCGCATCTACCGGTGGCAGCAGTTTCCCAGGGGGTAGGGTGAGAGGGGCCCGGGGGTCTCCCTGGGGGCCTGGACAGGCTGCGGCTTTGGGGGCTTTTCCGTGAACAGCAGGACCCGCCCCGGACGCCCACCCACGCACGTCCCCAGCAGGGCCCCGCGGTCGATAGTCATTAGCTTTCAAGACACTGGCAGTGAGAAGCTGCGGCAGGGGTGGGGGTGGGGGGGCGCTCTAAGAATGTGGTGGGCACATGTGCGTGCTCATGCGTCTAGCCCACTCGCGACTCCAGGCAGCAGGCCCGTGAGGCCATGGGCGGCGGTGGGGGGTGGGGTGGAGCGGAGCCTCGGGAGAACCTGTGCGGCGGGTCTGGGGGCCGGAGAGAGCTCAGGACTAGGGCGGCCGGGACCCCCCCTCACACAGAGCCCTGGGGCGCGTCCCCGGGCTGGGAGGGTCGTGCATGGCCAGGAGGAGGGGTGCTGCTCGCCCAGGGCCTCTGCGGAGTCCCGGGAAGGCAGCCAGAGGGCCAGGCTGTCCAGGGGGCTGCGGCCCAGCCCTGCATGGCCTGGCCATAAGCGCCGATCAGAAACGCCTAGAAATCCAGAAGGAGGGCCCGGGCATCAGGGTGGGTCCCCACTGCCCCACTCTGGGGCCGGCCCCTCCTCGGCTCCCACCCGAGCTCCCAGCAGCCGGCCGGCCTCGGGCCAGTCTATTCTAGCGCCCGGGGCCCCAGGGACTCCCAGGAGCTCCGGGAAAGGCAGAGCGAGGGGGGGAGTGTGGGGGTGCCGCTGGCCTCGTTAAGCCTCGGCTGCAGCGGGCATCTTGCCCCCAGCCCCTCTGAGAGCCTGAGCAGGGGCCCAGGCCGGTCCCCCTCCCAGCTGAGGCGACGTCCGAGCACGGGCAGCAGCGGAGAAACGGGCAGTGTGGCTGAAGCGGGGACGCCAGGAAGGCGGCAGCACTGGGCGCACGCGGCCAGGGCGGGGCCAGCGAGCCAGGAGGGGTCTGCTTCCAGAACATTCCACACTCAGCCAAGGCCCCCGGCAAGCAGCCCCCCCGCCAGCCATGTCATGCCCACCCCCACCCCTCCGCTGTCCACCTGCGGAGTCCCCGTCCCGGGCCACGCAGCTGGACGCCCCCAGCGCCCCCAGGTCGGCCGCTGCCCAGGGGTGCAGTGGGCAGGGGTCGCGTTCGGGGGAGGTTTTCTGCTTCCCGGCGACACCGAGGGGCTCATTTCCCACCTCGGGGTGCCCCAGGTGCTCAGACCTGAGCAGCGTGACTCACCTGCCTTCCCGCTCGCGCGCGGCTCGGGCCGGCGGCGTCTGGCGCAGCCGCTCAATTAGGGAGCGAGAGCGTTGGCGCGGGCTGAGTGCATTAGACCTCTCGGGCGCCGGGCGCAAGGGCTGAATTATTCAGGAGTCTGAGCGGGGCGGGCTCGGCGCTGCGCTGTGGCCGCCAGCGGATGGGTCCCGCCCCCGGGGGTCCCGCCGGTCCCCGGTGCCCCCCCTGCTCACCCTTCCCGCCTCTGGGCTCCCTGGAGGTGCGGGACCGGCCACGTTCCTGGCCGCATCTACCAGGTGGGAGCCGTGTCCCCACCTCTCCCTCTGCCCACACCCACGCCCCGTCCCCTCCACCGGGAGGTGGCCCAGATTGCTCTGCATTCTGCTGCCGCATCTATAAATGGACGGAAGGTTCTGGAAGCCTGGTACTTGGACCCGGGCAGGGCTGCAGGACACATCCTGGCCCGGTCTGGGGGCAACCAACGCTCTGGGTGAGAGTTGGGGATAGGGGGTGCTGACAAGGTCGTGGCCTCAGAGGCCCATGGGGTGACCCTGGGGCCCAGATGGATTCAGTCACCCCCTGTCCCCGCACGGCCCTGGCTGTGGCCATCTCCTGGCCCTGGGCCGGCCCTTCTGCCGCCTGCCCTCTCAGGGTCCACAGGCTGGCATGTACCTGCCCTGTCGAGGGCTCCTGCTGGGTGGGCACCAGTCCCCGCCCGCACCACACCACCCACGGCGCCAAGCTCCAGAGCCAGGTGGGGTCTGCACCGCAGAGGGGCTAAGCCGGCGATGACACCCCAGGGACAGCAGGGATGGGCGCCTTGGGCCACGGCAGCGGGTGCCACAGAAGGACCTTCGTGAATGCATCGGGTCCACAGAGAGACTCACGGGCCACAGCTGCTCAGGACCCCCAGCTGTGGGCTGAGATGGGGGCTCAGGACCCCCAGCTGCGGGTTGGGATGGGGGCTCAGAGCCCGCATGGATGCCCTGGGCGAGAAGGCCTTGTGGAACTGGGTGATGGTGTGGGCTCCTGAGGGCAGGCAGTGGCTGGGGGTGAGGCCAGTGCTCCGAGGGAGTCTCGGCTCCTGCATGCCCACGGGGGACGCCTCCTCAGGGAGACCCCCGGGGAGGTCCGGGGGCCTCACTTGCTTCCTCCCTGGGGGTGGCCCAGGGGTCTGAGAGGCCCGAGAATTTCTTGGATCAGCACCAAGGCGGCGGCACCACACGGCTGTTCTCATGGTCTGCACACACCCACATGCACCCCCCACATGCGCACACACACTAGTACCCACACCCCCCACACAAGCGCACACCTACCTGCACCCACCACGCTTGTCCACATCCCCCCGCACGCCGCCACGGGCACACACGTGTGAGCAGGAGGGTCCTCCTGGGCAGTGCTAGGGGCCCGGTCTGGGCCCAGCAGTTCCACAGCAGAATGCGAGGACGGACGCCAGTGCCTCCGCGCTCCGGGAGGACGAGCCTCAGGGACCAAACTAGGACCTGCTCCTTGTTTGTGCCATGGGGACTTTGCGAGGACATGGCGGGGCATGACACAGAACCCGGCACCAGCACCGACCCAGCACCCAGCACTCAGCACCAACCCGGCATCCAGCACCCAGCACCGACCTGGCACCCGGCACCCAGCACTGACCCGACACTTGGTACCCAGCACCCAGCACCGACCCGATATTCGGCACAGACCTGGCAGTGACCCAGCATTAAATACAGATGAAGCACCTGCCTGTGACCCCATATCCAGCACTGACCCCAGCCCCTTGCCCAATACCCAGCACCCAACACCTGGGCCCCTCCTCCCCCCAGGCATCAGACATCAGACAACACCTGGGCCCCTCCTCCCCCCAGGCATCAGACAATAGAGCAGGGAGGGGCGGGGTGGGCAGGGCAGCAGGGCTGCCTCCACGCTCGGTCCGGGCCTCTGGCCTGCAGGTGGGGGAGACGCGGGTGCTCGGGGGTGTTACCTGTAGAACTGCAGCTGTCTTTTGGGGCTCCCATAGCGAGTGCTGCGGACAGCGTGTGGAGAGAGGGGAGAGAGCCCGCGGGCGTTAGGGGGGAGGGGGAGAGGGTCCGCGGGTGTTAGGGGGCAGGGGGGAGAGAGCCCCTAGGCGTTAGGGCAGGATAGAGAGAGAGGGGAGAGGGAGAGAGCCCACAGGCCTTAAAGGGGGCTGCGGTGCAGGAGCAGCGCCACCCAGTGGCCACGGTGAGGAATGCACTCAGCCTAGTCCTCCCCGCTAAGGTCACAGCCCGTGGGTGAGTGGGGGGCTCCGGGCCAGAGAGAGGCAGAGGGAGGACGGAAGAGCCACTTGCCCGGGGGCCGGTCCAGCCCATGTGGGACATCCCTTTTCCCCGGGGCCCCTCAGATACCCCCGATGGTCTGGAAAGGCCCCGGGGTGCAGGTCTGGGAGCCCACGGTGCCCCTCCCTGCCCGGGCCTTGGCGAGGGGGCACCCGGGTCTGGGTGGGCCCATGGGTTGGGACCTGCCAGGGGAGTGGGGAGCAGAGGTGCGGGGCAGACACGAAGCAGGCAGGCCACCGTACGGGTTCTAGAATGTTCCAGCCATCACCCCTTTTCCTTTCCCTCCCCCGCGGTCCCAGCTCACCTGTAGATCATGCCGGGCGAGCCGGTCTGCCGCAGCGAGAGCCGAGCCGGGGAGCCCGTCGTGGATTCCGGATACATGGAGCCGCTCGGGCGCGCAGCAGGGGACGGTCCTGGGGGAGGCAGAGCGCAGGGTCAGGGCCGGCGGGGAGGGCGCTGGCCTCGCATGGCTCCCTGCCCACCGGGAGTGAACCCTGAGCACAGCCCCAAACAAACAAGACCCTCGGGCCCTCGGCGACGGCAACGGACCCCAGACCCGGCTCCTGCCCGAACGACAGTGCCGGGAGCCCTGGGACCCAAGGGCCGGTCCATGGCGCATCGGAAAGGCCCTCAGTGGCCAGACGGGTGATGGACAGACGGACGGATGGACGGACAGCGCTTGGGAGCCTCTGTTCCTCACCCACCTCTCCACTGGGCCCTCTTGGTCCCCACACACCTTTCGGTCTCTTCTCTGAGGCTCTAGAACATTCTTCCCGTACCAAACACACAGGGTGGGTCTGGGACTTCCACCGGGACTGTCTGTCTGTCTGTCCAGATCCCTGCCTGGGGAGCCCCTCACCTCCAGGCCCATCCTTGCTCCTGACCCAAGAACAGGCCGCAGGGAAGGGCATCACCAGGCCGCTGAGATCCCGGGCCCAACCCCAACCCCCAGACCCAGACAACCCAGCCCTGAAGCCGGCAGGGTGGGCGATGGCGCGACGCCCTGGCTTCCCTGCGGCCGCCACCCCCCACCCACAGGAGTGGGCAAGGGGCTGAGGCCCTCACAGCAGGGAGGAAACACCTGCGTGATGCAGCCCACAAGGGTCTGGGCCCGGAGCCCTGTCAGGAGTGCTCACTGAGCACTGCAGGGAGTGGCCCCCAGACCAAAGAAACGGAATGACAGGAAGAGGTCACTTCCCTGGGTCCTCTCTGCGGCCCAGTCGCAAATCTCATGCCCCTACACCATGGCCCCGGGACACTGGCCCCCCAGGCCCTCTCTCCAGAGCTCTCAGGACAGCAGCACACACCCCACCCCCAGTGGTACGGCAGGTGCCCCCAAACTCAAGGCCCCTTCGGAGCCCATTGCTCGGCACCCGGGAACATAAGGGACGACAGAAAATGCCCCAAGGTTACAACTGTCCCCTGAGGGGCAGCACCGCCCTCCTGGGGAAACACCATCTACACTGCACAAATCACTCTCAACGCGCGTGAGGGGCCAGCCACACGGGCTGGAAGGTGACTGCGGAGTGAGCGCCTCCGACAACACCCCGGTCTGGGCTCCAGCCGCGTAGCCCACAGCGGATGGCGCCTTCACCGCAGAGACACGTCTGGGAGCCCGAACCCGGGACCCTTGGGGCTCAGGGCCCCTTCCCGCGTCTCCCTTCCAAGGGAAGCCCACCCACCGCCTCTCCGGCTGCTCCTGACCCCGAGGTTGGGGCTGGGAGGCCCAGGGCTTTTGTCGCCCTCGGATCTGTCTGCTGGTCACCTCCCCTCTGACTACGTGCATGGACACATGCACATACGACAGCAGAAGCACACATCCTCACAGGTGCACCAACTGTACACATATATGCACACGTATAAGCACACACGCTCGCACCTGTGCATGCACGTATGCTGGTATATGGGCACAGACACACATCAGTACATGCGCAGACTCACACCCGTTGTTTGTGCGCACAAACCTGTACGCGTGTATACAAGCACACACTCATCTGTACACGCACACTTACACACCACATAGTAATCACGTGTGCTCACAGTACACATACATATGCCCGATGCACACCTACGCTTACACACACCTACACACCAGATACACAAGCACATGCCCCAGTGCGCGCACACACACACACATGCGTGCACTCTCACAGCCACACACACACGCGTGCACCCACACACACTGACCGCCAGTGAGGCCAGGCCACTACCACCAGCTCCAGAGACCCACCCACAAGCCTTCACTGGGGACAAAACCCATCTGGGCTCCTGGCGGCCTGTGGAGACCACCTAGCTGGGGGTTGTGCTGGTCCCCACGGCAGTGTTGGACCCGTGACCCTCTGGGGGTTCCTTGTGGCAGGCTCGCCCACGTGGCTCTCGTGGGGTGCCAGGCGGGGGCAGCCCAGGGCCACACTCACTCCTGCTGCCCAACCAGCCTGCGAAAACCGCCTGAAACCAGCTTCGTGTCCCTCCTGGGGTGCCCCATGTCCGCTGGGAACACAGGTGGCTCTGGGTTCGAGTCCCGACGCCCACCGACTGGTCCCGACCCGGGGGAGGCTCCTCTCACTCCCAACGGTTTGTCCCCCGTGAAGTGGGGTGACCAAAGCAGGGGAGCCCCACGCACAGTGCTCAGGGCCCTTCCAGGGCCTTTTGGGGAGGCTGATGCGTGGGCTAGCCTCGTCCCGCGGAGCTTCCCAGAACCAGGTGTAGTTCATGCTGCCTCCTGCACAGGTGAGCAGGGTCCTGGGTCCCTGAGACATCACAGGTGTGCCGGGTCTCTGGGCCCTCAGATGCCACCTTGAGCATGAGTTCCTGAGGGTGCAGAGCCAGAAAGGGCCCCTGAGCGAGTGCCCTGGGGCAGCGCACCGTGTCCAGACCCCGCAGGTGATGGTGTCCATAGATGCCCTGGGGTGTAAGGGACCCTCCTGGGGTGGCAGGTCTCCCCAAGAGCCCAGGCTCAGGCCAGGGGCCCCAGAGACACCACGAAAGCCCCGGCGCAGCTGTGAGCGCCAGGACACAAACATGCCCTGTGGGTGCCGGTGCCCACACAGCGACAGGAAGAGCCCTGGCTGTCCCAGCCACAGGCCGGAAGGCGCTTGCGTAACCTCCCCCTACACACACACACACACACACACACTCACTCACTGACACACACACACACTCACTCACTGACACACACACACTCACTCACTGACACACACACACACTCACTCACTCACAGACACACACACACACACATACACACAGGCAGCAGAAAGAACACACCCAAGTCTGAAAGGCCTCTGTCCCCACCCGCCCCGCGGCCCTGACAGCCCCCGGCGCCCCTGGAACTGGAGACCCCGGCCAGAGGACAGAGGCTGGAAGTGCCCTTGGCCTTCCCAGCACGCGGTGGGGTGTGTGTGTGTGGTCTCACGTGGCCGCAGGCGGAGGGGACCCCCAGGCTTTGCACACCGGCTCTGGGGTGCCGGGTGCTCACGGTGCCTGCTGGACCCCACCTCAACCACGCCCAGCGCCACATCCTGCCAGACACGGTGCGCGGGCAGGGTGGGTCCACAGGGGCTCCCCCAGATGGGCTGCCCGGGCTTCCTGGAAGAGAAAAACCCCCAAGGGGACCAGGGACGCACACGGCCATATCCAACACCCCAGGGACTCCCCAGTACTCAGGGGGTGGGGGTCCCTGGGAGCTGCCGCTGTGGGCACAGGGACCCCGACAGGGATGAAGGCAGGAAGTGCATGCGGGCAGACACAGTGTCTCCTGCGGCTCTGGGGCCCCCACTGTCCCCCAAGTGTCAGGGCGGGGGCATCGTGTTGGGGTGGTGGTGCAGCTGGGTCCTGGGGGCTCTGTAGGGGCACCCCAGCCCCAAGAGAGGAGATGCCCCCACCCCCAAGGCCCCCATACCTGCTCATGAGTTGGGGGCCGGCGACCACTGTGGAGGGCCGCGTCCCTCGAGGTGCCGGGGCGTGGCCCCCCGTCCCAGGCGTGCCCGGCCTCAGACACCCCAAACTTCCTGTTGGGCGGCGGGGAGCGGGGGCGGGGCAGGACAGGCGGGGCCCTCAGAGGGAGCAGAGTGGGGCTCAAACCCCTCGTGGGTGCCAGCGCTCTGGGCCCTGGCGGTGGGTGGGCACTGAGTCTGGGGCGCCCAGTTGGGAGAGAACTCGAATTTCTCACGGGCCGACTCCCAAGGCGGGTGCGGGGCTGGCACCAGAAGGAGACCGGAGCGAGCAGGGGACCGAGGGGTGGGCCGGGGGTGGGTGTGGTGGGAGGCGATGGGGGGGGACTGGCGCCCAACAGGAGAGTCGGGGTGAAGAGATGACAGGGTGGAGGGGACCCCGCCCACCCCCCCAACCTGCCCGGGGAGGTGACCTGGACATGGCCACTGGCCCGGGAGGGACAGGGCCAGGTGTGAGCGGTGCCATGTCCGGGCTGGACAGCACCAGGCAGAGCTGGAGGAGGCCACGGGTGTGTGTGTGGGGGGGTGGAACGCACGTCTCCCCACTGTCCAGAGAACAGAGTCAGGGTCCCCTGGGCGCACACAGTGGGGACACCCGGAACCAGGGCTAGGGACACAGCCCTGTGGCCTGGAGGGTGCCATCCCCAGTGTCCAGGCACTGTCCCGTGGGCGGGAGAGTTCTGGGGACCGAGCCGGGAGCCGCCTCCTGGACACCCCGTGCACTGCCCGACACTCTGCCTCACCCTCTGACCAGCGCTGGCCTGACCAGGATGCAGTGTCAACTCCCCTCCCCCCGTGGCCAGCCGTGGAGACATGGAGGCTGAGATCTCAGATGCCTATACAATGACCCTCATTTTCTGCCATGGGGACCCTCAGTTCCTGTCACACAGACCGTCACAGGGACTCACAGCTTGAATCACTCGGACCCTCAGTACTTGTTGCAAAAACCCTCAGTTTCTGTCACACGGACGGACCCTCAGCTTTGGTCACAGGGACCATGAGCTCCCGTCCCAGGGAAACTCAGCACTTGTCACCTCAGTTCCTGTCAAACAGACTCTGAATACCTGTCACAAAGACCCTCAGCTCTTGTCACCTGGAGCCTCAGTTCCTGTCCCAGGGACCCTCAGCTGTCAAAGTAACACCCCCCCACCATTTCCTGTCCCAGCGACCCTTGGCACTTGTCACACGAACCCTCAGTTCCTGTCACACAGCCTCTGAGCTCCTGTCATGAAGACGCTCAAGCTCTCATCACATGAAGGCACAGCTCCTGTCCCAGGGACACTCGACTGTCGGAGGGACCCTCGGCAACTGTCCCATGGGCCCTCAGCCCCTGTCACACCAACTCTTAGCTCCCTGTCATGCAGACCCTCAGCTCCTGTCACAGGAACCACCACACTTGTTGCGCGAACCCTCACAGCTCCTGTCACACAGACTGTCAGCTCCTGTCACTGGGGACCTCGGCTCCTGTCACA